TAATTCGAGATAATTGTTGCAAGAAGATGTTCGAATTATGGAATGTTTTCGGAAAAATCAAAAAATATTTTTAATATACAGCTGCTGGATTTTCTGTCTTATTTAAATAATTTAATTTTGACCACAGATGACTGATGCCATGTCCGAATCTAAAAAGAAATGTAGACAGTACAGTGTCGATTATTTGAAATTTGGCTTCATTCCATCATTGCCGGACAAACAATTGCTACTAATGGACTAAATAAATGGTATTTAGTGTAAATTAGTACTAATACCGGAAAAATAACCTTCTATTTTACGATAGCATACTACAACTATAATATAGTACTCGTATTGAAGCAGCTAACTAAAGTGCGAATTTTATAACCATATATTTAATTTAAGAAAATTCCAATAAATACACATTTATTAATTAGTATTTTTAAATTTGTGTTTAAGTACTTTCAAATAACACATCCCCTAGGTATTTAATGCTTATATTTTTTACAAAAAGTAAGAAATAACAACGTAATATTTTTATAGAATAAGCACAGTCCACCTGATGGTAAGTGGGTGCTGTGGTCCATAGACATCTACATTAATCTTCAATTAATAATCAAAAATCAAAATGCAGATCCGTTGTCAGCCCTGAGGACTGAGATGGAATGCCTCGTTTCCAATAAAAAGAGTCTCCGGTTCTCTACACTCACCATACGAAACACAGCAGCATTAAGCTGCTATTTTACGTTGGTATTCTGTGAAAGCGTCGTCATACCCTGGTCGAGCCGACCCATTCGTGCTGCAACCACAATATAGCTAGGTACATAGCTCTACCACGTAAAAAAATATATTTTAAGATAAACCTTTCTGTAAAATTTAGCACTTGTTAGCAGTTTTAGTACTTATATTTATTTCTTGTAAATAAACGCGTTGTAATCGTATTAACAACACGTTTTCATCAGTTGTCTACTTTCTAAAATATCTATTACGTCAAATTGTTTCCTTCTACAGCCGTGATAACAAACTAAAACTGAGTTGCAACTTTAAGTGTTGATTTTTCACCAGCTCGCTGGTGAAGTCAAAAAATCGAGAGGAAACCAGCATTTTTTATAGAACAAGGATGACAATTGAGCTCACATCTCACCTGATGGTAAGTAGATGCTGTGGCCCATAAACATTTACATCAACCTTCAATGAACACTTTACTTAGCAATTGGAAATAGTTTTAGGAGGGATTTTTTACTATGTTATTTTTTTAAACAATATTACTACACTACAAAATATCAATAGCGCCCCAAATGGTACATCGCTAATTTCTCGTCAATATAATATTATCACAAGTTGTCCCCTTTATTGTACACTGCGGCTTTTGTCTTTAATAAGTTTAGTGTGATTATGTAACATAAAATAAAATAAAACAAAGATAAATAAAGAAAATTTAATAACAGCTATTTAGTTACACTACAGGACTACGTATGTCAATGTCGATGTACTGGTATGTATTCCCAATTGTTATGGGTATAGGTACAAACTAATGGTGGTTAATATAACGCATAGCGCCATATTATAGCGCGCTATCTCTTCATAACACATAGCGCGTGTTATGTAAGTAGTCGCTATGGCGCTATTGCGCTATGGCGCTTTGGCGCTATCAACTGTTATTAACTAGCGGCAATTAGTTCTAGCAGCAGCGCTGTTGGGAGAGGAGTGGGGGCGTTTGGGGCGCGCCAGGGGGTGGTTTTGTTGTGGTTTGTGTGTTTTATTTATGGGTGATAGGAGGGGGTGGTTTTTTTTATTAAAAAAAATTTTTTTTTTTTTTTTTTTATTTTTATTTTTGAGGGAGGAAATAATGTTCTTATATAGCAACGCGCGATCTATCCAATGAACGACATGTAATGTAACGTACTAAGAAATATAACGTGCTGTAAAACTTAACGCGCTTACCGGCCTCCTACACGCTTTCTTATAAATAGCGCGCTATAACATAGCGTATTTAATAGCGCGCTATAAATTTATAGTTTATAGTCTGTAGCGTGCTATTGATTTATAGTCGTTTTGAACAACTTTAGTACAAACACTTTTCCATATTTGTCATCCTTATCTCCACATTTTATTTCTTATATTTATGCGCATACTACACATTAAAAGAAACTAATTTTTACGGATTTTATCGCGTTTTATTTAACTTTTTAATTCCCTACGTTTCGGGTGCTTTACAACACCCACGGTCACGGGGGAGCCAGATGTTTGACGTCCCGAAACCCGGCTACCTTCAGTTTTTGATATTAATTTTTGGTTTGATCTCCGCAGAATGAGCTTACAGTATCTTGAAATCCTGCAGTGGTGTGCTTGGGTTTGGATTTAATTTTATTAATTATAGGATCCCAAGCAGATGGTAGCACCCAGCCATCTTCTCTATTGAAATTAGGATGTTTTTTTTAAATTTCAATAGCCTCGCCAATCATCCTAGGTAGGAATCGGTGTTCTTTTAGAGACCACATTCACGATCAAGTTTGTACACTCCTGCATCTTGTAGAGGGATACTGTACTTGACGGTTGGTAAAACTTTACTAATCTTTTTCGGCATCTTGTAGTATGTTTTAATGGAAGCTCGCTTCAGGGTGTAACCAATATTGTTAGTGATTTGTCTGATGTATGGTAATAAAGCAGGCACCAGCTGGACCGTGGTCGGCTTCTCTCGATCGCTGAGACTTAGGCGCGTAACCCGAAGCTTGTTGTCTTGTAATAGTTGCTTGACGTGATGAAGCTCAGCGGCCAGAGGTTTTTTGTCACAGATCCCTTGTGTTCTATGAAACAAAGATTTTATCACGGTAACTAAACTGTGAAGGATGGTGGTGAGATTCACCGTTTAAATATCGGTATGGGTCTTTTTCCAAAACACAATGTGACCAATAGTGTTATCAGGATTAGGATGACTAAAAGATCTAGAAAAGCTAAAAAATTACTTGCCTCTAACTATATTGTGAATTGTATTTTAGAGTTTAGGTGGCCTAAGGATGAGAAAAGCAAATGATTAACCTTTTCACACACTGGTATCACAACGAAACTAAGTGTGTGAAGTGGGCTAGCTCAACTCTTCAACCTGTACGTCAACGATTTGATCGTTGGGCTCAGTGATGCCGGAATCTGCTGCTCAATTGACGGTCATTTTGTTAATAATATGCCATCAAAAACAAAACTTGTAAAAAAAAACGAAAACGTAAAAAGTTGTGAGATCTATGTAATACCAAGTCGGTTAATTTATCCAGTCCTTACTTATGGGTCCTTCTGTTTTAAGTTATTACGTAATTAGCTAACCTAACAACATTTTATAGTGACCATATCAATCTTAAAAATCTTTTATGTTTAAAATAAATAGATTGACTTGGCTATCGCAAGAAAATACAATGTATCTCAGAAGTAATACATATTATATTGAATTAGATTGCTTAGTACGATTGCTTGTTACTGGTCGCTCTAGCTCATCATTAAGAAATGTATGCGGGCATTTTAGATGAGGTTCTTTTATTGGACAATGACAAAAATATTGTGGCCGTGGAAGGAAAACATTGGGGTCACCACTCACCACTGTGGCCGTGGATGGAAGGAAAAAAGAAAACTCCCATCGGGCAAGGTGTTCAGCCAGGAGAGCGGCTAACACTTCGTGTATTATTTTGGAACTGTTCGCAGTAGCATCGGAACTTTGATAGCTTAATTTAGGCTTCGGTGCGTTTTTGCTTGTGGCGCGACGTCAGCACCGCCATAAAATTATTTTCCTCTACTTTCATTGATCTCTTTATATGTAAATAAATTATTACGTTTGAATTTGTGAAATTTTAATATAATAAACAGACAAAATACATGTTTTGAACTTAACCTTTTCTTCCATATTCGCAAGAAACTTCATTATTATTTTATCCTGTTACAATTAAAATTAAGGTTGATTAATAGGCTACATACCTGATATTAGAGTAGGTGATTTTAGGCTTTTGTAGAGGAAAAAAATCTGGTAAATTTAGGCTACTTGGCGTCAAATTTTTGGCGACTCGGAGCGGTCTTAGTTTCTCTATCTGGTCTGTGGAGCAGTCTGAGCGGTCTAAACTTGGCAACTATGGAGTGTAGAGGTAAGAAGAACAATCTCTCATAGGAGAGTAGTCCATCTATAAACAATAAATAACAGTTTCAAAAATTCTCCACAATAGCGCTTGAGTAGCTACAGGAAACAGCTACATGAAATGAACTTAGCAATTGTCGACGGTGTGAAGTGTGCTGCTAAACTGCACGGTAGCTCTAAAATCTAAAATAATTTTACTTAATAAATATAACCTCGAAATAGTCGTCTATCCCACTAATATTTTTCGGTGCATTCTTTAAAATTTACCCCGTAGCTATAGTGGCGCCATCGTTATTTAACGATTTTCTACGGACACTTTTTAATACACACACAACAGTCAGTAGTCTGTACTACATCTACATTCTACACTCCATATTGGCAACACTGTCACTGACCTGTGCTTTGATGGATAATGTTTTGAAAATTTGGAATTGAATTTATTGAATTAGAAGTGGATTTTTTATAATAATTACATACATAGTGGATTTTGATACGTAAAGCTGATGCGCTTTTGTGTAATAAGTGTCTGTGCATGTGAACTATTAGTAGAAACTACGCCAGTGTATATCTTCTATGGTAGAAACGAGGAAACAAGTGCTACGATGTTGATATAAAACTTGTATAAAATTGTCCGTTAAGCGCCTGAACCCTGAACTTGAGATTCCTCATCGACCATCTGCTGACATTTGACAGACATATTAAAATTAAAACAAGTTTTTGTGAACATATCATTTTATGGGATAATTTCCTATTACTTGTTATTTGCAATCATACGAGTCCAGAAAGAAAAAAATAACGTAACAAGTAACACAAACATTAGTTTCTTATTCAAAAAGTATTAATCTATAATATTTGTCTATAAATAAATTTTTTGCTTTTTTTTTTGAAGTTGAATCATAATTCTAAAATGATTTATGGTCATATACATCAATTTCTTTTGAGAACGATCGCAAGCCGGGGTGTTATTTCTATGACTGAAACAGAGAAAATTTTGAATGAATTTGAAGGTATTACATATTGTTTATCACTTAAATGAACTAAAGAACATATTCACTGTATTTCATTGATATTCTGTCATTTTTATGTCATTGTCTGCTTCTTTTTATACAGCAAACATCCAAGCTTCTGTTCAAGAATTAGTTAAAGACATAAATGAAAAAATAAAACCATTTGAGCAAATGATTAAGATAGCTACTGATGAGTTCACAGTAGAGGAGGTAATTATATTCTTGTCCCTTGGCTATGATGATGCTACTAAATCTCAGAATGTATTTTCTGCAACTGAACTTGAGTATTCACTTGAGTAGATTACTTTAGAATTCTGATAGAACAAATAATGACTACAGCGACAAGGCAAATTACTGGAATACATGCAGTCAATTTAGTTAGCAAGATGAAAGCTCTTTCACTAAGATGGATGCACAGGTGAGAATTTTTTTTAAGTTGAAGATGATGATGATTGTCTGTGTGTTTCATATGGTGAGCTTAATACTGTTGTGTTTCGTATGATGAATGTAGAGATTTGGAGACCCTTTTTTTACTGGAAACAAGGCATTCCATCTTAGTCCTCAGGGGTGACATAGAATTTGCGTTTTGATTTTTAATGAAGGAAAATATATAATATATAAATGTAGATGTCTATGAGCCACAGCATCTACTTACCATCAGATGGACTGTGTGCTCGTTTGTCACCTATATTCTATTAAACAAAGTGTGAAGCTCGCTTCAAGGTGTAACCAATATTGTTAGTGATTTGTCTGATGTATGGTAGTAAAGCAGGCACCAGCTGGACCGTGGTCGGCTTCTCTCGATCGCTGAGACTTAGGCGCGTAACCCGAAGCCTGTTGTCTTGCAATAGTTGCTTGACGTGATGAAGCTCAGCGGCCAGAGGTTTTTTGTCACAGATCCCTTGTGTTCTATGAAACAAAGATTTTATCACGGTAACTAAACTGTGAAGGATGGTGGTGAGATTCACCGTTTAAATATCGGTATGGGTCTTTTTCCAAAACACAATGTGACCAATAGTGTTATCAGGATTTAGGATGACTAAAAGATCTAGAAAAGCTAAAAAATTACTTGCCTCTAACTATATTGTGAATTGTATTTTAGAGTTTAGGTGGCCTAAGGATGAGAAAAGCAAATGATTAACCTTTTCACACACTGGTATCACAACGAAACTAAGTGTGTGAAGTGGGCTAGCTCAACTCTTCAACCTGTACGTCAACGATTTGATCGTTGGGCTCAGTGATGCCGGAATCTGCTGCTCAATTGACGGTCATTTTGTTAATAATATGCCATTACTTTTTTTTTACTACAAAACTTGTAAAAAAAACGAAAACGTAAAAAGTTGTGAGATCTATGTAATACCAAGCCGGTTAATTTATCCAGTCCTTACTTATCGGTCCTTCTGTTTTAAGTTATTACGTAATTAGCTAACCTAACAACATTTTATAGTGACCATATCAATCTTAAAAATCTTTTATGTTTAAAATAAATAGATTGACTTGGCTATCGCAAGAAAATACAATGTATCTCAGAAGTAATACATATTATATTGAATTAGATTGCTTAGTACGATTGCTTGTTACTGGTCGCTCTAGCTCATCATTAAGAAATGATGATTATGCGGGCATTTTAGATGAGGTTCTTTTATTGGAGAATGACAAAAAGATTGTGGCCGTGGAAGGAAAACATTGGGGTCACCACTCACCACTGTGGCCGTGAATGGAAGGAAAAAAGGAAACTCCCATCGGGCAAGGTGTTCAGCCAGGAGAGCGGCTAACGCTTCGTGTATTATTTTAGAACTGTTCGCAGTAGCATCGGAACTTTGATAGCTTAATTTAGGCTTCGGTGCGTTTTTGCTTGTGGCGCGACGTCAGCACCGCCATAAAATTATTTTCCTCTACTTTCATTGATCTCTTTATATGTAAATAAATTATTTCGTTTGAATTTGTGAAATTTTAATATAATAAATAGACAAAATACATGTTTTGAACTTAACCTTTTCTTCCATATTCGCAAGAAACTTCATTATTATTTTATCCTGTTACAATTAAAAATAAGCTTGATTAATAGGCTACATACCTGATATTAGAGTAGGTGATTTTAGGCTTTTGTAGAGGAAAAAAATCAGGTGAATTTAGGCTACTTGGCGTCAAATTTTTGGCGACACGGAGCGGTCTTAGTTTCTCTATCTGGTCTGTGGAGCTGTCGGAGCGGTCTAAACTTGGCAACTATGGAGTGTAGAGGTAAGGAGAACAATCTCTCATAGGAGAGTAGTCCATCTATAAACAATAAATAACAGTTTCAAAAATTCTCCACAATAGCACTGGAGTAGCTACAGGAAACAGCTACATGAAATGAACTTAGCAATTGTCGACGGTGTGAAGTGTGCTGCTAAACTGCACGGTAGCTCTAAAATCTAAAATAATTTTATTTAGTAAATATAACCTCGAAATAGTCGTCTATCCCACTAATATTTTTCGGTGCATTCTTTAAAATTTACCCCGTAGCTATAGTGGCGCCATCGTTATTTAACGATTTTCTACGGACACTTTTTAATACACACCACATACAGTCTGTAGTCTGCACTTACTTCTACATCTACATTCTACACTCCATATTGGCAACACTGTCACTGACCTGTGCTTTGATGGATACAATGGATAATGTTTTCAAAGTTTGGAATTGAAATGGAATTGAATTTATTGAATTAGAAGTGGATTTTTTATAATAATTACATACATAGTGGATTTTGATACGTAAAGCTGATGCGCTTTTGTGTAATAAGTGTCTGTGCATGTGAACTATTAGTAGAAACTACGCCAGTGTATATCTTCTATGGTAGAAACGAAGAAACAAGTGCTACGATGTTGATATAAAACTTGCATAAAATTGTCCGTTAACCGCCTGAACCCTGAACTTGAGATTCCTCATCTACCATCTGCTGACATTTGACAGACATATTAAAATTAAAACAAGTTTTTGTGAACATATCATTTTATGGGATAATTTCCTATTACTTGTTATTTGCAATCATACGAGTCCAGAAAGAAAAAATAACGTAAGGAGTAACACAAACATTAGTTTCTAATTCAAAAAGTATTTATTAATCTATAAGATTTTTCCATAAATAAATTTTTTGCTTTATTTTTTTTTTTTTTTTGAAGTTGAATCATAATTCTAAAATGATTTATGGTCATATACATCAATTTCTTTTGAGAACGATCGCAAGCCGGGGTGTTATTTCTATGACTGAAACAGAGAAAATTTTGAATGAATTTGAAGGTATTACATATTGTTTATCACTTAAATGAATAAGAACATGTTCACTGTATTTCATTGTTATTCTGTCATTTTTATGTCATTGTCTGCTTCTTTTTATACAGCAAACATTCAAGCTTCTGTTCAAGAATTAGTTAAAGACATAAATGAAAAAAATAAAACCATTTGAGCAAATGATTAAGATAGCTACTGATGAGTTCACAGTAGAGGAGGTAATTATATTCTTGTCCCTTGGCTATGATGATGCTACTAAATCTCAGAATGTATTTTCTGCAACTGAACTTGAGTACTTTAGAATTCTGATAGAACAAATAATGACTACAGCGACAAGGCAAATTACTGGAATACATGCAGTCAATTTAGTTAGCAAGATGAAAAGCTCTTTCACTAAGATGGATGCACAGGTGAGAAATTTTTTTAAGTTGAAGATGATGATGATTGTCTGTGTGTTTCATATGGTGAGCTTAATACTGCTGTGTTTCGTATGATGAATGTAGAGATTTGGAGACCCTTTTTTTACTGGAAACAAGGCATTCCATCTTAGTCCTCAGGGGTGACATAGCATTTTCGTTTTGATTCTTAATCAAGGAAAATATATAATTATGTAGATGTCTATGAGCCACAGCATCTACTTACCATCAGGTGGACTGTGTGCTCGTTTGTCACCTATATTATATTAAACAAAGTATCTTTTCAGATATATTCAAAAAATTCTTTAACATGGAAAAAATTGTATTTGTCATGTTTTACCAAGTCTATATCACAAAGGAAGCAAATTCAAGCATATATTTATATGATGTAAATAACATCATTTATCATGATCTTTGTAACAGCATATTAAAGTCTCCTTGTTGAACTTAAACCTCAACCATATATTGTGTGTAAGAAACTGTGGTTTTGTATTATTTTACGTTGCGTTGGTTATCAGGAAGATGCTGCTTCTCAACTAATGTGTCAGTTTACATGTGTCACCTTTGATGAAACCTGCTCATTATTAGGTATACTGGATTCTCTTATGCTACCACTACACTGTGTTATAATAATAAATAAAGTTTATTTCTCATCACAAAAAAGTTACATTTAGAGTTATAGGTTCCATGTAAGTAGTACAACAACTTTGCCCATGGATCGCTGGTGCCTCTGGTGGGTAAGATACCTACCAGAGGCACCAGTGTGGTAGCAGAGTGGGTATTACAGGTCACAAGGTCTCCACCTCTACGAGAAATGCCATTTATATCTAAAACATTAACACATAAAGATTAACTCCATTTCCTTATTTGTCATACCTAATTAAAATAATTGTTTATGGTTAAGAAAACTTAGAAAAATTTGTGTGTGTGTGTGTGTGTGTGTGTGTGTGTGTGTGTGTGTGTGTGTGTGTGTGTGTGTGTGTGTGTGTGTGTGTGTGTGTGTGTGTGTGTGTGTGTGTGTGTGTATTTTACACGACAACTTCCAAAAGACTTTCTGTTTTTGCATAGGTTTGCCTAAGGAGCCAGTTGAGAATAATGTTTTTGCACTCATATATACTATAACTATAAATATAATCACAAGTATTGTTTTAATGATACAAATTTACATATTATCTTAAATTAATTATCCAGAAAAATCTTGTTTTATCTAATTTAGTACCCGGATGACCGAGCTTTGCTCTTTTTTTTTTTTTGGAAATCATGTTTTTTGGAAATTATATTTAGATATAAATTACATACCGATGAAACATGAATAATATTTTTTGATCTTATTGACATAATAGAAAAAACTGAACTGGTTATTTGAATAAAAAATCATGAGTGCAATTAGTTTAACTAAAATTTTCATATTGTTAATACTAAAAAAAAAGGCTCGAAATAAAAGATTTGCTCACAAAAGAAGGGGACTTGAAAAAAAAAAAAGGAAAAAAGTCGGACCAAAGACGGGATGCGAACCAAAGCATTACGATTTTGCGACCGCTCGATATCCACTTGAGCTATTACTATCATTAACACAGTGTCAAAATTTACCTTCTTATATTGTAGCAGTTTTTCATTGCCTGAAAACACGGACGAAAAGACATTTTCTAAAAATGAATCCTAGCTATATCGATTTATTGCCCCCGAAACTCTCTGGACACTAAATTTTATGAAAATCGTTGGAGCCGTTTCCGAGATTCCGATTATATATATATATATACATAGATATAGATATGTATATAGGTATGGGATATATATATACAAGAATTGCTTGTTTAAAGGTATGGGATAATAACTAATAACTTTTGTTTGTGCAACCGTGTTACCAGTATGTACATTTTTCTCTATTGAGAGGTTTTTATTTTGTAGAACAAGGGTGACACGTCCAACTACATTTATCCTCAATTAAAAATCAACATGGAGAATGTGTTTTCATCCCATGAGAACTAAGATGGAATGCTTCGTTTCCAGTAAGAAGGGTCTCCAGATCTCTACATTCACTATATGAAAAATAGCAGGAAGTGTGGTCCTACCCTGTTGAACAAATATATTTGTGCTACAACCATAATTTCGGTGCAGTGTGGTTTTACCAAACTTAATATTTTACATATAAATATTATTTAGATTACCAGTCTGTAAGTCATGGATTGTGGATGCCTCAATTGTTCAGTGGCTAAGCTTTTGCCAATGGTGTTGCAAGCTTTGGGTTAAATTCTCACTTGGAGCAAATATTTGTTTGACTTACAAATGGTTGCTCTAAGTGTAATTGTAATTGTTTGTCTGTAATCAAATGAATATGTATGTAAAATGCCTTCATAATATAGAAGAAACTCCCTGTAAACATTTCATATTTTATTTCAAGGGAGAAATTATCCTTAATCCTGTCATTAAAATTATTTCAGAAATTACTCAATGTTTGGTGTCGTATGCGCTATCTGGATAAGGATGACACAAACTATGCTTTGGGGGTGCGAGCGATCCATGAATTTGAGGGCTACCTCCGGCAAAATATGCCAGACACAATTGAAGAATGTTGTCTTTGTAAGCAGATTGTATTTAGGGTAAGTCAATATTTTATCATTTAATCATGCATACATTCAGTACAGTCTATCAAAAGTCTTAAGTTGAACATAACTCTCCCCCATCGATTGCCTCATATAGGGATATTGGCATAGTAGATACCACTCTTTAAACAGGTGAGTTAACACAATGTTTCAAGATGACATGGAGTAATGGACTAATGTATAGAAGGCATGTGAATTTTTTGATTTCATTTTTGTATTTGATTGCAACAGTGTTTTACTAGATGGGTAACATCGTGGGAGACTTTTTACAAGGTGGGTAACATCATGGGTGCTGTTTTGCTAGATGATAGGATTTTTTCTGTCCAGGAGTTTATGGTTCTGTTTCCTGGCCTGAAGAGTATGGAAAGGTATACATATGGTTATAGGCTAGAAGGGTATGGGGTTATGGGCTAGAAAGGTACATGGTTATAGGCTGTAGGGCATTCCATCTTAGTCCTCCCTCAGATGTAATAACGCATCTGAAGCCTTCTTTATAATTTAAATAAAGCTTGCAGGAGCCCTTGGGTTGTAATAGCCACTTACCATTAGGTGGTCTGTAAGTTTTTTTTTCATAGGAGAGGGGGCAAACGAGTATACGGCTCACCTGATGGTAAGTGATTACCGTCACCCATGAACAGCTGCAACACCAGGGTGATTGCAGATGTGTTGCCGGCCTTTAACGATTGAACGACGATAAAATTTATTTGTCATTACAGTTTTAGAAAAATTAAGCGTGAAAAGGCTAGCTTGATCCTGTCATTTTCAATGAAAATGTTAATTGCAATCACAGGAGCTGACTTTCCACATTTTCAGTAAAACCTAAATGTTAAAATAATTTAAATATTGTCACTAATTTATGCTCTATATTTCTCGGAAAAAAGAGGAGACCTGTTTGCAGCTCTATGGTGTTGCTATTTTTCAACTATAATAAGCACACTGTTTAGGGCTCCTGTTTGAGTTTTATTTATAATATCTTGACAAGTAGAGCCGGAACACAAACTTTTAGCTACGAATCAGAGCTCGTATTGTTAGCACAATAGTCGTAATTAGTTATAAGATCTGTCTGTATTAAATTTTGATTATTACCTGATACACACTGTTAGCAATAAGACGACTTAAGTATAACCAACAAGTTCAATAAATCAATTCATTGAAGAGCACCTGCCTTCTAGTGAATTGAATATTACAAAATATTTTGATTGTTACTTATTATTATGTTAACCATCATTGATCTTAACTCTATCCCCCTATTGAATAAAACTAATTTTAAAATTTGTTATTTATAATTCCCCATGTTTTGGACACCTTACTGCATCCAGTGTCACGGGGGGGGGGGATACCAGTCAGTCCTGGGGTGGTGCACCAGCGCCCTAAAAATCAAATAAAAAATTCTAATAAAATGCGAAAAAAACTAAATCTGTAATATTCACATAAATATAAGAAATTATTGAATGGCCATAGAGAGTCTTCAAAACTTACTATTAATGTATATATATAAAAGTTTAATAGTAGTTGTTTTTACAATTCCAGGGCTATAACTGCCCAGCTTGTGGATTGGCTGTACACACGCAATGTCTGAATCGGTACTTAGAAAAAGTACAGAAATGGCCATGCTGCAAGGTTGAGTTTAGCGAATCACAGTTGGATCAGTTGAATTGTGAAGGGTATGTATGTGTGAAGTTACATTTTTTTAAATCTTAAGTTTAAGCTATTAATTGGGAATAATGAGTCAAAAGTTGAGGATTATTTAAAAAACGTGAACATTAATTCAAACGAAAAGTGAAGTTGTTATGTTGCCCCTCCATGCTTCTCATTCACGCTTGTAAGATGGCGATAATGATTGATTTTATTTAATAGTTCAGTTATTAATTTAAAATAGTTATAATTTTACTAGATAAAAATATTGTTTTTTATTAAAATTCAAGTACTTTTATTTTAATAGTTATAATTATAGGTTATTATGTATTCAAATACTAAGTTGATATTATTAGTATTAGTATGTGTTCATTTCAATAAGTTGAATGATTTCTTTTCTTCAACATAAACGTCATTTGTTATCTTGCTTAAAATTAAGTAACACTAAATTGTAAATTTCAAATTAGTCCCACAGCTTTCTGCTTAGAAAGCTTTGGACTTGAGTATTTATTAAGTAGTAAATTCCGGTCACTCGTCGGAGCTTACATGCAACATCTGTCACCCTTATTCTATAAAAAAAAATCATGTCATAACAACATGAAAATCCCCTGCTGTTAATAGAAGAATTTCGATACTACAGATACACTTCAATTCCTTCTATATTGAATTTGTTTATCAACTTGCTGCAAAGAGGCTTATCGGCAACATAAAGCTGGTGGAAACTAAGCTTCATAGCTTATTCTTTTTTCTTGTCTTTGGAGAGTGTGCCTATGAGCTTCATAACCTCATACCGCAATCCGCATTCTCCTATCGGAGTACCAGATGTGCTGCAGGCTACCATCCACACTTGATCAATATTCCGAATACTCGTACAAAGTGCTTTATACGTTACCTTTTATAAAGCGCACAGCCAATGAAATAAACGCTCTACCGGCGTCTATTTTTCTGAGTGCGTACTGCATAAACATTTTTAAGGTGCGTATTAACAGGCTTTTCCTGGACAAACTCGCTTTATCGTAGACCTCATCTTTGCCCTCGGGCCAGGTGAAGGTCAAGAGTGAGCCCATTTTTAATAATAATAATAAAAAATATTGTATACAGACAGACAGTTGTGGAAATTAGGATTGGGGGGCAAAATGTCTTACAGCCGGTCCCTATTGTAGAAGAAGGAGCCTGATTATGTCTGGTCTTCTCCTATTTATTAATCGAACACAGGACATAATCGTTAGGTGTGTTGTAAGTAACTGGATGGAATTTTCTATTGTCAAGATGTCCAACGAAGACCCTTTGTACTGGAAACGAGGCAATCCATCTTGGTCTTGGACAACGCATCTGCATTTTGATTCGTAATCGAGGATAGATGTAGATGTCTATGGGCCACAACAACCACTTACCATCAGGTGGACTGTGTGCTCGTTTGTCACCTTATCCTATGAAAAAAACTAAAAAGAGGCAAACATATCAATCTATAGGAGTTATCCTGCAAGATAGAATATAGTATGCAGTGTTTTCTATTAAATATGGAGATAATAAGGATTAAGGACGAAATTTATTGATTAGTAAATATTTAATTACTCTGTTAATGAAATTAAAAACGAGTCTGTATAATTTGTAATGTAATATTTTGTATGAAATGTAAAGTAAGTTTTAGTTTTGGTAAAAATATTATGATAAAAAAATTAGTAAAGCCTACAAAATTATCCTACTCCTGAACTCCTGATACTCTGCATTTGTCACATTCTCACCAAGTTTAGTTTTCTGAAAGTTTCAATTTCACCGCATATGGCTGCACACATGTCTTTTTCTTCTTCTATTTACTACTGTTGAGTTGGTGTTATGTACCATTGAGAAGTGGTGACACGCAAGATTTGCCGTAAATCGCCACTTCTCTCACAGTCAGATTAGCATTAATTGCGGTATCCGATGTCATCACACACTGCTCTCCATCCCAGGTCGGGTATTGTAAATCTGGCACAATTTACAGGACAGTAGGCCGCTTTGGTGGGCAATGACATCTTTCTGACCTTTCCCAGAGGCACCTTGTGCAACACCCACGGATGAAATGGAGTGTGGGATTATTTTACACCATCACCATGTGGTTTCTCTTATATCTTTATTGCTGATGAATTATACTGATAATTTATAAATAAATAAATAAAATAAATTTCTTAATCATGTTTTTGTAGGTCCAGCTAGGTAACTTTTTCCAATAAACATAAAATGTGTTTTGTAATTCCAGGTTAACGCAAACTCAACATTTGGAAGCGACTCAACAATCTGAAGAATACAATACTGTAGTTGAAGCGGTGTGTGATACATCAGGAGATGAGGATCAAGGGACGCAAGAAATAATTCCTGAAATTTCCCAAAGAATTACTAGGAAGAGAAAACGGCAGAACGATTGATCTGGTATAAATTTTTCTTAAGATGTTTTGTTGTATTAAAAAGTGATAATAAATTTTTTAATTATAATGTATGAATAGTATTTTTGTTATGTAGTTTTCTTCTTGCGTGGTACTTTAAAATCCTTGTAAGTTATTCATGAGTTGTTATGATTTTACAAGTTTTTATTGCACTGCATTTATTGCACAATCAGAATGGTAGTGACATATCTCAAAAATCAAGTTTATTGGAAATAAAATATAAAGTTTTAGAATTGCAAAGGTTCAATTATAACCTGATTTAAATAATTCCTTTTGTATGAAAAAAGGAATTTAGTTTATCTTCTGTTATATGAACAAGAAAATAAGTTTGATGCTTATTTTTTATAAAATTTGGTAAGAATTACGTCGCCCATATCTAACTTAATGTTCTTACTAAATTTGATATAATGGATTTCCGCAAAGTAACGTCTGATTCTATTAATTAGCTTATTTTTTAATATTGTTTTAATACAAGTGAAATAATTTTTTAAAAAACCTTAGTCTCAATTAATTCAGTAGTTTTTATGCTATTTCTGAAAACTGCAATAAACTGAAGAAATACGTTCGTGTCACATGAATGATTAAGTAATTTTAGTAACCAAAAACTGTGAAATTGAATACTTTTTTACTTTCAAATGACTTCCCATTAAGTCACTTTGTCGCAAAAATAAACACAACTTAATTAATAAAATCATTATCAACATAAACTTTCTTGCAAAGAAACAGAGTAAACTAACAATTACCGTATGTATTATTTTGGTGATGGTATATCTGATTTTGCCTGGTGATGTCTGTTACTGCAAAGCTGTGTTTTTATGGTTTATTTTGGAATGTACATCTCAAAATTTTTGCTGAGTCAAAAATTTTCCAGGGTCGGGGGGAAAATGTAGTGTTATGCTTACATACATACTTACATATCATTTTACACTATTTTATTTTTATTTTTCCATTCTGTTTTTGATTTTCTACATTCACCTCAAAACTGGATATTTTGCATCACCTTTATTTCCATAGGATCCTGTAATATTTTTAATTCATAAGAACACAATAACAAATCATTTTCACTTCGTATTTTCACGTTATCAGCACTTTTTAAATCGGTGTCAATGGAGTCTACCTTTTTTCGATCTTTTATTTAGTTCTCCGTAACTCTGCAATTTCGGGCTTCGTGCGCACTGTTGCGCTACCTTTTTTCCTATATAAATAATATCTAATTTTTCACTTAAATCTTGCCGTTTCTCTATTACGAGCCTAAAACCAAAATTTGACGTGTTTTGACATCGTTGTTTATCTGGTTGCCAAAATTGTCGTGAAGCGACAATTAAAAACTAAATAACCTAACCTAACTACAACAAAACAACCAAAAATAAAATAAATTATTTAAAAATTTGAAAAGATTTACAGTTTCTTTTATAAAAAAAAGGTATGAAGGTGATGATGGGCTGTAATGATGATAGTGATTTACAATATTATTAAAAAAAAATAACAAAAATAAAGATACTGCAACGAAGTATGCACAGGCTATGCCTATGATAGGTGCACAGCGCCTGCTCTAGGTACACGCAGAATCTGGAGAAAGCACATGCAGCGTCTGGAGAAGGTACACGCAGCGCTTGGAGTAGGCACACGCAACGCCCGGAGTAGATACACGCAGCACCCGGAGTAGACACGCAGCGTCTGGAGTAGGTACACGTGGCGCTTGAAGTAGGCAAACACAACGTCCGGAGTAGACACACACAGCGTCCGGAGTAGACACGCAGCGTCTGGAGTAGGAACACGCAGCGCTTGAGACAAGCACGCTCAGTGGCCGAAGATAGCGCGGGCACTAATAGGTGGAGGCGTAGGCGTGGCTAGGCGACGACTTCAGGAGAAGGCTTGCAAGATCCCGAGGCAGTGCGGATAAAGCCTTTAAGAGGTGCTTCTCGTATCAAAGCTGAAGTGAGGACCTCTATCGGCCGATTCTTCGGCTTTTATACTTTTTGACGGATCTGGGATAAGAACGAGAAATTATTTGAAATTATTTAAATTAAAAGCAAATTTTTGTAAATGGCCAAGAAGAAAAGAGTATTTTTGAAGTAAAAACATCAGGCCGGTAACAATATTTGAATAAAAATTGCCACGACAACCAGATAAACAACGATGTCAAAACATGTCAAATTTTGGTTTTAGGCTCGTAATAGAGAAACGGCAAGATTTAAGTGAAAAATTAGATATTATTTATATAGGAAAAAAAGGTAGCGCAACAGTGCGCACGAAGCCCGAAATTGCAGAGTTACGGAGAACTAAATAAAAGATCGAAAAAAGGTAGACTCCATTGACACCGATTTAAAAAGTGCTGATAACGTGAAAATACGAAGTGAAAATGATTTGTTATTGTGTTCTTATGAATTAAAAATATTACAGGATCCTATGGAAATAAAGGTGATGCAAAATATCCAGTTTTGAGGTGAATGTAGAAAATCAAAAACAGAATGGAAAAATAAAAATAAAATAGTGTAAAATGATATGTAAGTATGTATGTAAGCATAACACTACAATATTTGCTTGCATGACGAAAACTACACAAATGTGGGTGTCATCAATGTTGAGTCGATCACTATGATTCTCTTTTCGGGACAATTTTTTTTCTTTTAAATGACGATCATATTCTTCTTTGTTGTATTTCTTTTGAAAAACAATTTAAAATTATAAGCAAATCACATTTTTACGTGGTAGAGCCATGCTGCAGCTATATTATGGTTGTAGCACGAATGGGTCGGCTCGACGGGGGTAGGACCACGCTCTCACAGAATACCAGGCGTAAAATAGTTTATAGTGAGTGTAGATAACCGGAGACCCTTTTTACTGGAAACGAGACATTTCATCTCAGTCCTCAGGGCTGGCAACGCATCTGCATCTTTTGATTTTTAATTGAAGATAAACGTAGATGTCTATGGGACACAGCATCCACTTACAATCAGGTGGACTGTGTGCTAGTTTGTCACCCTTATTCTATAAATAAAAAAAACATCTTAAATTTCCTAAAACAACTAATAATTCACATGTAGCTTTTCCTGCGTCGCGTTCATCTTTATCGAAATTTTACGAAGTTGAAGACCTCAAATAGTGAGTTTCAATCCTTGGTATGCAATGTATGTGTCCTTATGTCTTATATTCTTTTTAACTTATTATAAGCCGGTGCTTGACCACAATCCCACCCGGTGGTAAGTGGTGATGCAGCCTTAGATGGTAAATCGCACTGTCTTAGCGTAACAAAAGCATATTCATTCTTGCTTTGAAGACGCCCAGATTGTATTCGGATGTATAGGCAGGCGACTGTAAATTATTCCACTCCTTTGCTGTACGCGTTACAAAAGACTAATCAAACAGTATGACTGCTGGTTCTGTCCTCCTATGCTGGATTTTACCTCGGTTATCTTTCGCTGTGAAACCATGCTCACCTGTTTTCTGTTTCACAGTTCTTATTTACCTATCAAATATATTTAGAGTGTTTATAAAGTAAGTTTTACATACCCTAACTTTAATATGTTGCTTTACCTTTTACATTATCACATATTCATTTAATATTACATACCCTAAATTTTTTTTGGGTTTTTTTTTCTTTTTCCAAGTGGCGCTGTGGGGTACATTACATACATTGTTAAATAAAATGCAGTGTTTGGCTTTCTTGGTCTAACTGACTTCTGTTACTAACTGCTTATATCAGAAAGTGCATGTGCAGTTTATAATGTAAGTTGTCTTTAATTAGATGTTTCCTATTGCTCTATATTTTTGAAACGGTAGATATCTATTGATCTTGATTATGTTATCAACATATTTGAGTCTACATTTGCTAGTACATGGATATTTTATTGAACGAGCAGGAAATATTTTTTTCCAGTGTTTTGCAAGATTTTGGCAACATTTAGTTTCCACTAGTTGGGATTTCGTTGACGTTTGTGGGATTTCTTTGAACTTTCCACAACAGAGTTATTAACATCATCATCACATATAGTATCAGAATACGAGGAACTGGTACTACTCGAAGAAGACACTTCTGACACATAACTAATCGCGTCCGTTCCGAAGCCAGCGGCGTGGGTGGAGGGAGCAAGTGTGAAACTACTACCATAAAAATGCTACTGTTATAATATTCACTTAAAGAAGCGAAACTTTTAGTGGCCCTCTATGACCATAACTCAATTTCTTTAATTTTTGAGTACAATATAATATATCATCTGAAGGTGCGTTATGTTTAAACATTTGAACTGTGAAATCTTACATTCTAGTAAAATATATAATTTGTGTTTATGACATGATGATAAAACCTGATTACTTTCTGGGATATACACATATAAGTTTTTGTGTGATTATAAGTCAAAACTATCGACTAAAAAATTAGAAGGACCTCAATAAAGTCCATTTCTTTTGCTTAAAGGCATAACAATTGGCGTGAATATAATAATTGGCGCGAAGGGCGGCATTAGGGAATCTACTACTGCATATGATCCCGTAGCTGTCGTAAGAGACAATAAAGGGAAAAGAAACAGGAGATGGTTCTGGATAACAGCTCAGATTAATAAATAACTGCATTTGCCCAACTATCTGCAAAGCATCCCACCTATGAGGCCTTCCTTTCGCGTAGATTTATGGAGAAGCCTTTGTTTAGCAGATTTTGATAGTAATAAAAAATATTATAAAGGTTAACAGTAATTTTATCAATATGCCGACAGAACACGCTGCAGCTATTTTATGGTTGTTGCACAATTGGGTCGACTCGACCGGGTCAAGACTACGCCCACACAGAATACCAGCGTAAAATAGCAGCGTAACGCTGCTGTGTATCGTATGGTGAGTGTAGAGATCCGGCGACCCTTTTTTACTGGAAACGAGGCATTCCATCTTACTCCTCATCATAAATGTAGATATCTATGGGCCACAGCATCCTCTTACCAGCAGGTGGACTATGTGCTCGTTTGTCACCCTTATTCTATTTTTTTTAACTTTTTTTTTGTCCATGGTAATTTATAGTAAGCTGAAGAATGTCTTTATTTGATATGTCAAATGATCTGTAAGATGTTAGGAAGGTATTGTTAAATGGTAATATCCTAAGAGATATTTACTGCTTATCCAGATAGAAATAATACATAATTTAGACACTGTATTCATCTAAAATTTAAACTTAAAACATTTTATTTGGAATTCAAAAAGCGTTAGCAGTATGAAGCAATTGCAAAAGATTAATTGTAAATTAATTATATTAAAACATGTTAATTATTCAAATATTTTAATATTACATCAGTATCATAGCTTTCTAATGTTTATTATTCATCATAAATCTTAAATGGATAGATAGGGTCTTAAATTGCTAAATACACATTTTCTACTTTTTTCCTCACTAGTTTTGCCGACTTTGGATAGAAATCAAGTAAATATTTCCATTCGTCTAATTTCAAATACACGATGTCCACCACAGTACGTGCTCGGAACGAAAAGTAGTGCTGTACCCCCACAAACAAACCCTAAAATAAAAACATCGATTATATTTATATTCACTTATCGGTTGACTATAGGTGGTAAGTAATCGGATATCCTTTTTATCTACACCTATATGAAATTTTCAAATATTTCACCTCATTCTAAGGTAACGTCGCCCTGGTGCACAAATAATTGTGGATACCCTCATTTTCGAGCGATATACTAAAACGAGAAATATTTCGTCAAAAACAGCATAAGTTCAACCTCAAAGAAAAAAATTAAAGACGTCTCGGCAGGCTCTGACCAGGCCACAAGCGGTTGAACTGGTCGATTTTCTTTATTTTTTTCATAAGATTAAAATAATGATGGTTTTAAATGGTTTCTAAACATGACTTAGAATGAGCCTTTTTGTGAGATGTAAGTTTTACACGGAGGTACACATTCCAATCGCAATATAGTGTGAACTTTATGATTCGAATTTTGAGAATTTATTTCCTTCCGTAACTAATTACAATGTGTCTTACCTGGATTGAAGAGCACCTCCCGCTCTCCCTCAATTGCATGGTCAACCGCGTACAAGGTGGTGACCGTCTTGTCCGTATGTTAATATTTTTTAAAAAATGTTTCTGATTTTGCATAAGTAGATTTATACGAGGTTTAAGAGTACTGTAACGTTGTTTATTAGTTTTTTTATACGTTGTTAATACACAGAGTCTCACAGAATAGCAGCGTAAAATAGCAGCTTAATGCTGCTGTGTTTCGTATTGTAAGTGTAGAGAACCGGAAACTTTTTTTACTGGTAACGAGACATTCCACCTTAGTCCTCACGGGTGACAACGCATCTGCATTTTGATTCGTAATCCACAGCAACCACTTACCATCAGGTGGACTGTGTGCTCCTTTGTCTCCCTATCCTATAAAAATACTTAAATATAATATAAAAAATCCTCTTATGAATGCCTCACATCTTGCAATTATACTGGTTGTTAAACCCTTTAGACCGGGACACGGTGTAAAGGGTTTAAAAACCGTAGTGCAAGCGCTGTTTTTGCGGCAGAAATAGGTAAGAAGATAAACATATAATACAAACTTATTATTTGTTTTAATTTTGGCACATTGTGGTCGTTGCAAGTGAGCCGCGGTGTAAGAATATCTATACTTATCGTCCCGTGGGTGTCGTAAGAAGCGACGGAGTGAAACTGAAACGAGATGAACAGCAGCGTCTTTCTTATAACAACTATAATAAAAAACTTGCGTTTTTTTATATAGGATAGGGTGACGAACGAGCATACAGTCCACCTGATGGTAAGTGGTTGCTGTGGCCCATAGACATCTACATCTATCTTCGATTGCGAATCAAAATGCAGATGCGTTGTCACCCTTGAGGACTAAGATGGCATGCCTTGTTTCCAGTAAAAAGGGGTCTCCGGTTCTCTACACTCACCATACGTAACACAGCAGCATTAAGCTGCTATTTGACGCTGGTGTTCTGTGCGAGCGTGGTCCTTCATCGGTCGAGCCGACTCATACGTGTTACAACTATACTAATAGTGTAAGTGTGGCGACCATGGATTACTATAATACACAATACAATGGCTGTCAACTTTATTTTGTACGAGGATTGGCGTCGCCAAACTCGATTCGCTGTGTTGACAGACTGAGTAAATTTACACATTTTAGACTTTTGATTAGTGTTCAAGATTATCATTAAAAAATCGTTTAAATTTTAATACATATTTATTTGTAAATAGGGTGCAATTTGGCATTTTTTTAATAATTTGCATGTGAAATTTGGAAACGATTGTAACGTCAAAACACATCTTGTGTTGACGTTTATACGTGTGAATTGACGTGTTAGTGACATTTTAGTGGCGACACGGGCTCCGCCCATTCCCCGTTCTATTATGTATGTATTATAGTATTCTATGGTGGCGACTGTGGCAAAATCTATGAGGAACGCCTATGTTCAGAAGTGTTCTCTAAGCTGTAATATAATGGAATGGATGGTTGTTGTTGCTCTACAGATCTAGACAACTCTAGATTTTACTGACAATTTCCCTTAATCACCTAATACGACTCACACGAAATGAAGTAAGGTGATAAATCTTACGCTGCCACATCAACATTTGAGTGTAATTTTTGAATGAATAAGGGTGACAAATGAGCACACATTCCACCTGATGGTAAGTGGATGCTGCGGCCCATAGACATCTATCCTCGATTAAAAATCAAAATGCAAAATGCGTTGTCAACCCTCAAAACTAGGATGAAATGCCTCGTTTTCAGCAAAAATGTCTCCGACTCTATATTAACATCATGAAACACAGCAGCATATTTCATCCTGATATTTTGTGGAAACGCGGTACTTCTCCGGGCAGGTCGAAACATTCATGCTATTACCATTATATAGGCGGCTCTATGTAAACATATTAAAACCTTAGCATAATATATAATAAAACCTTAATATTTTTATATTAAGTATTTTCCCAATAAGTTACGTACTTGCGCTAATCCAAAACAATCTTCGGGACCTAGGACATCGTAAATAGATTCTGTCAAATTCTGGTGTACTGTCAACACTTCGACCTGAAATTAATATACTGTAATATTAATTTATGCATTTGTTCTATTTAGTATATATTGTATTCTATTGTTTCTGCGTTTAATAGCATAATATGCTTGTGTATTTTACTACGTTTTTATTAAGTGAAGTGAGTTCTTGTTTGTATGTCTGTCAATCTTCCTAGATGGAATGTTGGAAGTCAAATCTCGAGCACCTCTCGATAAGCTACAGATTTGAAATTTTGAACATAGCTCAGAATTGAATGGCAATGTAGGAAGATGAAAAACGTGTTTTTTTTTTGGTACAAAATTTTACAAAAATCACTTGTTTATAGGTATTTATGCATACCAGGCGAGAAAACGATAGAAATGTAATGATAATTAATAATTTATTTTAAATTATATTATATAGACATCTTTATTATATTTATTCATCCGAACTTGAAAGATGAGAATAATATTCGCTTAATAGTAATATAATGAATAAATAACACAGTCCGCCAGTTTCACGATCACACTATTCAATAGATGCTAGTGCCTCGAAACCGTGCCTTGTGTCCGGCTTTGGGAAGACCTATTTTCAGCAGTGGATGTAGAATTAATTGCAACGATATAATGATTTCACTGTTTACTGTTGTTGATACATCATCCACATAGTAAACAGTGAAATGGTAACTGGCAAAAATTTTGAAAATGTTTTTTTTAATTCCTGCTTTATTACATTTGCGTCTCTTTAAACAATCCAAAGTTTAAATTTGCTTTTAAATTAAACTTATTTACAATATTTAGGTAACTACACTAATTAAGTTGAAAGATGCGTTAAGAATTTAATTACAATTCATTAATACCAGAAACATTTATGAATAATATAAGTAGAAGGCAGTAACTGAAAGTTTGTGATCCCTTACAGGATATTTATAACAATATTTATGTTTATGAAACAAAGCGAAATATTTTTTTATTTAATTGAACTTACAGATTTTCCATGTGCACGGCAGCGAAGGAAAACATCGTGAGGTAACTTATATAGGGAGATATAAAATATTTCGGGAACATGTAAAGACGTGGACTCTCTGAGGCATCTCTAATCTCTGTCTAGTTTCACATATTTACCTGGAACTTGAAATAGCGGCAATGGTGAATAATTTCTATTACCTCTCCTCTATGAATGAAGTATATGCATTGATCGGAGTCTCCTCGCTGAACGATGTAGTTCCCTGGGAAAAACACGCAGTGTCTCATCCACATAACCAACATTCGCTTAAAGTCGTCTTCTGTTTTGCTAAATATAATGGATTCTCCTATATGACACCCATAAACATCCTGCATCACTTGACTACGGAGTCGAAACGGCAGTTTGTACACCAATTTCGGCATCTGAAACAACAGCACTGATGCTTACATAAATAAACCAGAGCTGACCTTATGTACGTCTATGTACAGCTGGAAGAATTAGCTACTGTTGTAAACTGTCGCTTTTCACCTGAGTCGTGTTAGATTTGTCTGATACGCCGAAACTAAAATAGGATAGTTGACACCGCCATTAATAAATTATTACATTACCTATATATTTTTTATTTTCTACTTTTAGTAGTGTCTTAAAACTTTGTTCGTTTTCTATTTTAACCCTTCAATCCCCATAAAGTCCGTCTAATCCCTAGCGGTCGCATGCGACCGCACCAACCCACAGCACTTTAAACCATTAAAACTTATTTAGAAACTACTTTTCTATGAAGAAGTTTGACATTATAAAATCTATACAAATTCTCTATCTTGTGGTCTAAACAAAATTCAGGTTTTACTTCATTACAAAAAGACTTTATAGTATTTTGATAACAAAAAACGGGTACATACCAAGCGGATGTCGGCAGCGTGAAAATCACTATTATTTCTATATATTACTCGAAATTATTTACGTAAAAAGATAAATTATATTCACACAAAAACTTTCATACCAATTTTGTAATAAAACGCTATACTAAAGAAAACTAATGAAACACTAGAAAAATCCAAAAATCAAGACAACAAAACGCGATAACACAACACGAAAATGGCGTACGTAATGAACATAGATTATAAATAAATAACCATAGAGTAACTGACTTTTTATTGCACTAGAGGATAGATAATTTCATATTGAGCCTATAATACCAAACTTCTTCATAGAAAAGTAGTCTCTAACCGTAAGTATTTATTGGTTATAATGCTGTGGGTGGGTGCGGCCGAATTCGGTCACTTGGTATTTGACGGGATATCGCCGTGACCGAATTCAACCGCTTGGTAGCTAAGGGGTTAAGTTAATTTAGATATATAGTATTTATAAATAGAGGCAAATAAGATAACCATTGTCTATAAAAACTATGACGTCATAACACTACGTTCTCATAAACTACAGTAACTTTTTATTTCCATATCAAATTTCTTAAATAGAAATGTTTATCTTGACAACTCCTTCATCATTAATGATTATTTTAGCACCAAAGTGCGGGACGATAAATTAAAAGAGCGCGATAAATCCTGTCTTAGAAATGTAATATGCTGTTACGACAGCCGATTATATGGACAAGAAGATACTAAATCATAAAACAGGGTTTGCAACTATGAATCACGAATACAGAAAAGGCTACAAGCGGTGTACGCAGGCGGCGAAAAACCCACACAAACTAAAAAAAACATACTTGACAGACTAGTGACGTGGAGCAGCATTACCGGACAGCTACTATTACAATACTACAATGATTATTGGCAAACCTTGTAAAAAGTGCATGTCATTAGGCTCATTCTTGGAAAGCTCTATTATATGTTAGTTATATTTGCGACAAGATTATAATCTATGCCAACAAGCAAGACATAATATTGTATTATTTTAATCATAAACTCGCGTACTGTTAAATTTACTGCAAGCGCTAACCATCTGAGCTACCACGGCTCTCACACAGTACGCGAGCAAGCCGGGTTCGATCCCCGCCGGCACCAATGAAATTGTAAATTGCAATTTTAGGTGCTGATTTACCACGTGCTCGGCGGTGAAGGAAAACATCGTGAGGAAACCTGCATGTCTGAGAAATAAGAAAAAAATATATTCCGAAGACATGTGAAGTTCGCCAACACGCATTGGGCAGCGCGGCGGACACTTCCATGTCCTAAAACCCTCTCAGAAATGAGCGGAGGCCTGTGCCCAGGAGTGGGATGTATATAGGCTATAACTTTAATCATAATTTTGTATTATAGGCATAAATTCTTATCTCCTAACGTCCGATAATTGATCGTGGTGTTCTCAAGGTTTTGCATTAAATGAAATGTTTGAATAAATCAGATCGATCTGGAATGTTCCTACTCCCTCTTTGCAGGCGATTGCGAACATTAATTACTTTAAAATGCGGTAAAAAACAATACATTTGGAAAGAGAATAAAGATATATACGAATAACTCGTAAGTACTAATGTTAAAGACTAACATCGGTATAAAACTAAAGATCTCTGCTAAGAAACCTAACGAGCTAATGGCGTCTTAGTGTCACTTGTCATGTCTAGTGAAATAATATGGATGACTTATTATAATCGGCATTTAGGGCGCCTTCAAATTAGAGGCGTGTGGAAGCGCTGCGGTGGTGCTACCAAAAAGAAGCGCTACAGTGGCGCGACTGTGTCGCAGTAGCCGCGCGTCAGTAATGCTTCGGTAAATTGTAGTGATGTTTGTCAGTTTTTGAAAAAATTGCAAATTTCAAAATACATACAAATAGAAACATGGTGTTTTTTTTTTCTGGTATTTAGCATCAGGTTGTAGCCTTACAGGTTTACACTACTCTTATCAACGAGGACTTTCAACCATTTGCGGGATTGTGAATGAAACCAAATGAAGCCAAAAATATAATTGCTACTATATACAGTATACACATTTTTATTTACTTGTCGCCCTTGTTGTCTGTTCCAAAGCTCGCACACGTAGTCCCACATCTTGTTCGTCTGATGCTCGCTGAGATCAGTGTCTCTAAGGCCATCCCTCAATTCGTTTATTCTATAATCGTATGCTATACGTGACGACGAGTGTGCTGTTATCATCGCTGACATTTCCGATATTAGGAGACCTAAAGAAAATTGTTTTTAAGTAAGTTTTTTGTAGAAGAACTTTAGGATAAAAACGCAAGGTCTTAAATTTTTAGGCCGGGTCCACATTTGATCATCTTAACTAACCCTGATCTGGTGTATCGTATAAAATCGTATAGAATACTGGTATCTTAAATTTAAACGCCTGTTTTGACAATATCGTATCACTATCTGTATCGAGTCAAAACGCGTCTACTTAACCATATCGTATCAAGTCTGTCCAGTGTATTGGCATTAACGTTCTTTATATGTGGACGCTACAAATTTTCCTACGATCCTTGAATCTGTTTCATCAGCGAACATTTTAAGACAGAGGCTATGTATCCTTTGAGGCTATTCCGTCAGGGATAAAACTACTATAGATGGAACACAGCGTATCACATATAGTATCGCATCCTCGCATCATGATGTGAGGATACGATACGATACGACAATATCAAAATATGCTCATGTTATTGGTCATGTTACAAGTACAGTATCACAACGTATTACACGTATTTTTTTTATAGGATAAGGTGACAAATGGACACAGTCTACCTAATGTTAAGTGGTTGCTGTGGCCCATAGCCATCTGATAGACATCTATCCTCGACTACGAATCAAGTTGCTGATGAGGAACTATATGTAATGCCCTTTTTTCCGGTAAAAAGGGTATCCGGTTCTCTACACTCACCATACGAAACACAGCAGCGCTAAGCTGCTATTTTACGGTGGTATTCTGTGAGAGATTGCAGGTATGGGTAAGGAGCTGCACTTCCCGTAGCGCCGAAGCGGTTACAGAAGTAACTTTGGGTCAATATTCCTGTGTAAAAAGTGAGGTTATCATTATACAAAAAAAACATTACTCATAAACTACTAGGGTGGTTACTACCAAACTACCTGGGAGTGGATAAATTTTTTTTGAGTTAGGTCTACCAAATAAAACACCTTACTCCCCCAAATTCCTGCCAAACGCTTCTAAATTGCTGTAAAGTCTTTGAAACGTCGGGAATATAAAGAAGTTAAAATAGGCAATAAAATCCTTAAAAACTAGTTTTATTTAAATGTGTAGCGTTCGCGTAAATGTAAGAAATCATTTATATGTATATATATATATTGCGAACATATGTCAAATAATTATTAAAACAGCCCATGAATGTATTAAAGTCTCACCATTAAAATGCTATAAAGCACGAAATACACTGTCCCACATGCTTACGTACCTTGCTGAATTTCACATTTTTCTGTAAAGGTACGAAAAAAGTGAACGTTTCTTTAGCGCCACGTTTTCTAGTAGCTGCTGCTTTCTAGATGCTACTATTGTACAGTATTGCCTCATGATTGTTGATTTAACAGGTGTTATGAGCTTAGCTTACCTTTATTATACTCTACATTTAATAAGCAAAATTGTAGATAATATGCGCTAGGCAAGCTTAACCGCCTATTTTTCCAGTTATAATAGCCGTTGAACTTTGTTTTAATTACTTAAGAAATGTTAAGGTCGTAAACTTACCTGTACAGAATTTGATAATGATGATTATAATGATCGTTTCTATCACTTCAAAATCATTTTGTGATGATACATCCCCTGTTCCGGTTATGGTCAGCAGATTCATCATATACCATAAAGATGCTACGTACAAAGAAAAATATTGTCCCTAAAAACAGAAAAAGTGTAAGTATAGTTCTATTAATTAGTTCAAGTAATATAAATAAAAAGGCGGTTGCCATCATGCTTGCAAAGCATGGTGACTATGACAAATATTTAATAGGCAATCTATGTGGGAGGCCTATAGGCCTATATTTATATATTTGTTATAAACTGACGCTAGAGGAGGCCTATGTTCAGCATTGGACTTTTAGTAGGTTTTAATGGAATGAAATAGCGTTATTTAATACATTATGTAGTACATTTTAGAACAATTTAGACATTGGACCAACCGAAACAACCCTAAGGGCCGCACATACATACGGGTCTGCCACACACATAGGCGAATGCTACACGCGTCATATTTATCACGATCCTTGGATCGCGATCCAGGATCGTGATATTTATTGAACGTATAGTATCAAGTATTGATGGATCGCGATACGGATTGCAGAATTTCTAGATTTCCGAAAATCTATATCGCGATCCAAGGATCGTGATAAATATCGCGCGTGTAGTGTTGCTGCGATACGGATCGCGTGAGTCTGCTCTGGAGAAGCGATGGAAGAGGACGACTTTTGTAGCGATGCGGGCGAAATCGCAAACGAAAGCGACAATCCTCTTTCGACGGGACCATCTACAATCCATCAAAAATATTTACAGGCTTTTATATTATGTTTGGAATCAACGCCCATATAATGGGCAACATCGTATGATGGTTTTAGGACAATTGTAAGCGCATGAAGGCACTTTAGTAGTTACTACCAATACCAATTTATAAAAAAATAAAAAATGACGCTTCACTGAAAGGTTGATGTGTGATTAGTGTTGATGTGGCTACCGCCATCATTTAAAGAACTTATCGTGAGGGGTTTTCGCCCACATTAATATTTTATTATAGTATTAGTGCGATAAACGAGCATACAGTTCACATGATGGTAAGCTGTGGCTTATAAACATCCGCAGCTATCCTCGATCAAGAATCAAAATGCAGATGCGTTGTCGCTTGTCACCCCTGAGGACTGAGATGGAATGCGTATCCAGAAGTGTCTCCGGTTCTCTACCATCACCATACGAAATACAGCAGTATTAAGCTACTATTTTACGCTGGTATTCTGTTAGAGCGTGGCCCTTCCCCGGTCGAGACGACTCATTCGTGCTTCAACCGTAATATATACTCGTAGCTGCATCATGGCCCTACCACGTATAAAATAGATGTATAAGTTATGTATCCATCTTAAAAGGATATCATCACACTAGTGAATCGCACCTTTACAAAGTCCGGGCAAGTCGATATTATCCAATATTTTAATGTACTAGATTCGAATTGTTTATTATATTAATAAACAAAATGTCACCAATATTGGAGTAAACATAATAGACATAAAATAGCATAACAATTCTAACAGTTGAGTTCTGATATCAATTTTAGAATCGTGTGTCTTTTTCTTATTCACTATTATTCCGAAGTTATATAGCTTATTCAGATTGGTCCGATGTGGTAGATAAAGGCTGATTAGGCAGATCAGGTTTAAAAATAAATTAGTTATTAATTATATTATGAGGTCACACACATGCATTCACACACGCGTGCGCGCACGTACGCAAACACACACACACACACGCACGCGCACGCACACGCACACGCACGCGCACGCACACACACACAAACACACACACACACAAAATCTGTAGTACTAGAAAGTTAAGAGCAATTTTTGCTTTCCGATCACTTTTGTAAGGGGGTAAGGGACTGAATCTCCTTAATACAGGCTATTTCTTAGTCTAGTAAGGAGAACAGAACGTCACCCTCATTAGTGTTTTTTTTTCACCTAATTTTATAGCTATCTCATGTAAGATTTTATATGTACTACAATTTAAAGTTTTTAATAAATTATTATTATTATTATTAAATTTTGGACAGAATTTAGGATGAAATCTTTTTACTATCTAGCAGTTCCTTTTATGTCTATTATACTTAAACTTCTGGGATTTCACTACATTTTTGGGAGGTTTTTGAAGCGGAAAGAGTAAGTACTCATTTCGCGCTGCGAATGGCATTTCATTGTTCACCTTCACTTCAAGTGTTGCAAGTACCTGCGATCTTACTAAGATTTCACGCGTGTTATGTAACTTAAGGAGTGCACTGCACTACCATTATAGGTATTAGTGCTAAGTCACTATTAACATGTGTTTGAAGGTTACACCCGTCAACAACTTTTCTAAATCCAATACCGGACCTAGGCCTTTCCAAGAAAGGGCAAGTTAGCAAACATAACTTGAGAGGTTTATTCATACCAACTGAGTGAGCGCAGAGCTTATACCGCTGCACATTAACGGACTGCTTAATTTTTTTTAGAATGATTTCTCCGCCAGCAGTCTGTTCCTAAAGTCTTTTCGGCAGAAATGTTCTATTCCTATTGGCACAAATGACAAGTAACGATTCATTAAATAATTCACCTCAGCATACTGGGCACGTAAACTCAATTCCTCTTTGGACATCCAGTTCGCCGAAGTGCAATGTACTGGCGTTAAGCAGGACAACTTAAAGAAAAGGCACGCATTCACGTGCGTTAGTATTGACGCCCATATTGCTATTGTGCTGTTGAAATAAAATAAAAATAATGATGTTTTTAACAAAATATAAATAGTTTCGACTTATTGGTTGTAGAATATGTCTCCTTTATTTAAATTCCATTTCCCGCTGTTCTTTCGACACGTAATTATTGCACATTTGCCATTTTTTAAATAATTTGCATGCGACGCTTGACAAGAAAATTGGAAACGATTGATTGGGTTGACATTTATACGTGTGAATTGACGTCTTAGTGACATGTAAGTGGCTCCACGGGCTCCACCTATAACAGAGAGCCAGTATCGGGCTGTGAGGCTTCCATCTTGGTACTCGGCGGCGACTACGCGTCAGTGTTTGTGAAGCTCGCTGCGGGTGTCAATAGACGGCAGTATGTCAGGTGTACTGTATGTACATTTGCCACTTCAGTCTTATAAATAAACACTTTTTCTTCCGAGGTGTCGGTCTGGATATGTACAATCCCTGCTTACAAGTACCCATTCACGCAGTCAATAAGCAACCCTTCCATTGTCGTAGTGTATCAAGAATGGTATAGAGAGCCAGTTTAATAATTGCAAGCTGTGAGATATTCCATCTTATTCCACAGAGATGAAAGCATCTGCAGACTTCTTTGTTTAAAGTTCGTTAGCTAGCAGGGAAATATGGCTGAAGTAGTAGGTAAATCGGGCACTAAATATGTGGATCTGATAAAACGTTACTAATACTATCTTCAGGCAAGTCAAGTTGATATTTCTTTTAAACAAAAATTGGTTGTAAAGTCAGTTTACGGACGATAGTTTAAGGTGACGTCATCACAAAACATTGATGAAATGATTGCATACTTTGTGGAAAAGCGAGAGATGCGGCGCAAGTCGAACGCTCAAGTCGGTCGTGCTTTTCGCTTGCTCGTGCAGCGCTCTCGCTCCGATCGTAACGTTACAATGAGCTCAACGTTACAATGAGTCATTGCGTGCAGCCGGCGTTCATCGATTTATTAGACGTTGTCACGTCAAAAACGTCATCTCAACACTAATATTTTCTTCTGTATCGTGGAGGCAGTTTACATAAATTGTACAAGGACAAAAATCCAGAGCCGGACAATTACTTATAGGTCATACAAATACTTGTTCCTCGAGGTCGTAACTCATTGCTAAGCCACTGCTCCACAGAGGTTAACGCCGTCAAAAACGTCAAACATAACAGATTATTACCTATAGTTTCTCAGTAAATAAAAAAAATTATGAGTGAAATAAATAGGAATTACTAATGAATATTTTGATTTGTATGCATATAAGTGTAACGCTCCAGTCTATGGATGTTCTACAATCACTTTTTTTTAATTTATTTAACTTCGTATACACTGAAATGTATATATGTAGACTTAATGCCTGAGGCATTATCTACCAGTCTACCTTAATTTATTATATTTTATTAATTCAAAAACAGATTATCTAGTTATTCATAGCCTGTGGGCAGAAAGCCATGAAAAGGACACCATGTTTTTTTATCTACTTTTACGATGATTTAAAAAAAATAGTTGGTACAATGCAGCGTTATGTACCTATCTTGTCAATATTAAGCAATTCGTAATTTTATTGAATTTTTTGGGTGTTCGACGTCGGTCTCAAGCCTGTTAAACGCACGCAAGAAGCTGATAACTGTGTAGATACTTACTTTAGTTTGAGAAATAAATTAGCCGTTCCGATAGATATATTACTATGTTGCCTATAAGTGAAGAGATAAGTAATCCTAAACAGCTGGGGTGTCCGAAGATAACAGAAGATTGCATTTATTAGTTTCGGATTTAAATTCATGGCAAAAGCTATGTAACTTATTGGTAAAATAGACATGAAATCTCGTCTTCTAAGAAATACTTTAGAGAAATACCTAAAAGAAAAAGATATTAAAATAAAGTGTGATATAGTAGTAAATCTCTTCTTTATCTGAGCTCGCTAAAAGCTCTCCATTTATAGGGATCAGAGTAAGGAGGCGACTTGAAGATGGCAAATCTCTCACTATTAAAGCTTCCCCCCCCCTCTCTACCTCGGTAGTTTGCGTAATGAGATGATTAAACCGCAATGTATTTGAATCCATAAGATTTTTTGGCATTTCACATAGAAGCCTGAACTCTTTCACATCCACGAAATAGGATAACGGATTATTTTACACCGCTACCACACAACGAGTGATGTGTAAATGTAATATCATAATGATCATTATTAAAAAATCTTACCGCAAGTCCGCTGTAGCCACTGAATATTGTAAAGGCAGAAAAATTACGGTCCTGAGCTACATGCATACGTCGACTTTCTGCGTGCAACAAGGTTGTCTCGCCCCTACTAGAAATGAGCCGAATATGGACTTCACCGAATACGAAAGTTCGGTAAAACTTTCACCGAACCGAATATTTGGCCAAATATTATTCGGCAGGATCACCTCGGTACCTAACCAATTTGTGTCCAAAACTTGAGTAAAGTGAAATGTACCGATGTAATGTAATGTTTCTTTGTTTCATTCCAAAAACATTTTATCAAGCATTCTCTTTGCTATAATTGGAAATAAATCTATAGTGCCTCAAAAACATAACGCTATACAAGTAGATTTAACCTATAAATAAAATATACTTTCAACAGTAAAATTATTAAAGACATGGCATTACTCAATTCGTACATTTCAATACACTGGATACTTTGAGTGGTCAAAGTGGTTTTGACGAATGTTCGGTGATTTAGCCGAATACGAATATTCGGTAAAGCTGCCGAGTACCGAATATGAAATGAATATTCGGCCCATCTCTACCCGTTACACTATTCGTACGTTTCTAGTAAACGCTCCTGTTAAATTCTTAGGACTTAATTTTTCGGTTCTTTGAGTTTATGGTCGCTTCATTATTATGCATGAATACTTCAGCTTACTAATCTTTTGGGATTGTAGATAACTTTAGTTCTACTGCGAATATCCTCATAACGGGTTCTATGATCGCAGAAAAATAAACAGCATATTCTTCTATTGTTTCTCGAATGATTTTACTTTCCTCGTACGATACGGACCATAGTTAGATTTCGTAAACGTATTTACTATATAAGTAATATATTACCTATATCTTCTTTTTCATCGCTCCTAAACATTGAACTATTGGACATGTTCCTTGGTAGAAGGTATGGCTTTCACAGCACCAGACCCCGCGCACATTTGATGCTATTCCCCCACTCTGTTCTGAGTATTTTTACCGGATTGTCCCAGAAGGAGGGTAATGATTTTCGAGTATATTTATATGTACGTTAGTACGTATGTCTATTTCTTTGGCATTTTCTGTAGCCAAAGTTGCTTAATGGCTCTTAACATATGGGATTTTGTTTTAGTTGTAGAAGTAACACGGGATATAAAAGTTATCTCTTTTTGTAAAAGATATACGTCTTACTCATCTGGCGTTTTTTTTTCTGCCATTTCCCATCGTCTCTTCTTACAGCACCCCCAAAATGAAATGTTAAGTTCTCTCTCCTCCCACTACACGGCACATTATGTAAACATTTAAGTTAGTAAGTTATACTTCGATCAACAATACTGTTATATGTACCTAATACTCACATCTTTCGCACTTTCTTTGGATTAAGAATACAGTCTCCGTAACGATTGGTATAACCTGTGTGTAGATCCAAGAAGACCTTATAAATAAAAATTGCGTCGAATGCAGTGCAAATGTAAAAGAAGTAAACGTTCGACAGAAAAGCCATTTGGTATACAAGGATCATGAAATCGACGTACGAGAGAAACATGACGAGGTAATCTGAAAAATATTAAGAAAATAGATATAGGTAATATAATGTGCTACTAAAAGTAGTCTATATTCGAAGATATGTAGATTTCACATATGAAGAAAATCTAATCTAGTTATTATAGAGGATAAGGACACTGGATTACATATAAGAGAATACCTTTTTTGCAGTTGATAGCTTCAGATTATATAAAAGATGTCGCTGTCACCGAAAGTCAGCAAGAGCATCATCACATAACATATTGTTTGCATGCGGACAAGCTTAGGTACTTTAAAAAATATATGCATGCATAAACTCAAGCCTGTCATCCAGAGGAGTCGGTAGCGACTAAAGCAGAGAGTATATAGTAGTAGAAGTAGAGAGTATAATAAATCATAACGCTTAGCAGATACTACTAAATATAATTGAGCCCATCTTAAATATATCGCCTATTTGGTTCCTAAATTTTCTTCTAGAGCATCCCGTGCCGACTCTACCACTCACTTGTTACCACCACCCGATAAGCATTACTGTTAAACGTGTTAGTTCCAGCTGGTAAGTATTATTTGAAATATTTCCCCATACTCACGATATCCCGAAAACATAAAGAAGAGCTGAACTCTCGCAAAGGTAATGCCCAATCACCACTTTTAATTTAGTTCATCTTCAATATATCGCCAAATTGGTCAATAAACTTTCGCCTGGAGCGTCTCTTGCCGACGGTTTGTGGTATAACCTTCGTATAACCCTTAAATTTCCAGTGCACGGAAAATAATTTAAGTATGTTATCTTGTATACTTCGATTATAAGTAGCGGCTCCAGTTGCATTGTTTATGGCGTTTAAAGTAAACTAAAAAAAGTAAGTAAACTAAAAGTACTTAATTAACTTACACATACTCCACGTTGAATTAACTTCACCTGTATTTCTATTAATTAAAAAATACTATTTTGAAGACAGTCAGAATATCAGGTTTGAGTAATGATTGTTATTTTTGACAATAATTAAAATAAATTAAAAATGTTTACTTACCCATAAATATCACAAATTTTGAATCTGGTACAACACTACTGCGGAACCATCTGCGAAAATATTTTTTTTATTTAGACGTTCTATAAGAGATTTTATCACTTTAAACATTGCCGAAAGCAAAGCAATTAATTACGAATAACTATTTCATTGGCGCCGGCGCCAATAAAACTGTTATTGGTAATTAAGTACTGACGTACCACGTATGCGGAGTTTAAGAAAAAACGTATGAAATAGAGAAACCGGCGTATCACAGAAATAAAAGAAGTTAAATCTGTCTGGATTATTTATACTTACAATGAAACTTGTACATTATTAGGTATGCTGTAACAGGTATCTGATGAAAATAAAACAATAATTCTATTGTAGTCTCACAAATTTAGTACATAGCTGACATAGTTAACTGCCTCGTTGGTCTAGTGGTTGTATATATCTGACATCTCAACCTTCCAATAAAAATACTATAGACCACTTTATTTTGAAAATATCTTTTTTGCTACTACCATAACACCCTTTCAATTTTCCAGATAACTTTACTGAATGGTTTGTTTTCTTTTCAGCCTTTTTTCAGGTTTTTTTTATAGGATAGGGTGACAAGAGCTCCTGATGGTAAGTGGTTGCTGCGGCCCATAGACATCTACATCTATCCTCCATTACAAATCAAAATGCAGATACGTTGTCACCCTAGGGGAGGAGCCTCTTTTCAAGTAAAAAGGGTCTCCAGTTCTATACATTCACCATACGAAACACAGCAGCATTAAGCTGCTATTTTAAGCTGTTATTCTATGAGAACGTGGTCCTTCCCCGGTTGAGCCGAACCCATTCGTGCTACAACTATACTATATTATATAGCATGGCTGTACCACGTATAATAAGGTGTTCGTCCGTAAGGAAATAACCGGCCAGCTATACCTTTCTGGCGGCAGAAGTGTTTTGGTCCGTACGGTACAGAGGCAATATACCTTAATTGTCAGAGGATACTACGTAGACGTAGAAGTTACTACGTAAGTTTAAATTAGCTGCAGGTGTCCATTGGCTGGAGTAGTCACTAGTCACTTACCGTCAGGTGATTCAGGTTGATTCAATTCAAATGGTATAATTTAAAAAAAATCCGCTCATGATGAGCTTACCTATGCGGTATGAATAATAAATACTTCGCAGCAATAAATTCATCGTTGCCTGCTGATGTAACAGATCTTGAGCCGTGAGATGCTATACTTTTTTCGGGGCTCTGAAAACAATTGAGCTAAGTTCATTTCATTATTTAATGTTTTGTCAAATTACTGGGTAATATTTCACAAAAGTAAAGGTGACAAACGAACGTTTGTCACCTTTTGTACTAGTTTTACTACACAATGACTGATCTGATAGTGTGGTCCATGGACCATCTCTCCTTAATTAGGAATCAAAATTCATCAAATATATAATTCAATCAAATTCATTTTAAATGACTAGTTACCATTTAAAATGGTCTCCGGTTTTCGATATTTATTATCACCATACAATACACAGAAACATTTGCTGCTATTTTACGCTAGTATTATGCGGTCCTTTCCCGATCGAGTCGAATTTATACTGTAACCGTAGCTTTTCTTAAAAATAAAAGTGACAAATGCGCTACAGTCCACCTGATGGTAAATAGCTACTGCTGCTCATGGACGCCTTCAACTAACTTCAAATGAAGAAGACCACAGACGCGTTGCTGCTGCATTGCTGTGAGGACTGCCATGCCTCACAGCCTGCATACCCTTTAAACCGTAACACGTACTGTTTTTATGTCACAAATATTTCAGAGGATGGTACCTAACTAGACGAGATCCTACGGAGAAAACAAAATTAAAAAGCTGCAGTGTTGCTCTTAATCATTGCTTTGCTTAATCCTTCGTTATCTTTATAACAGAGCATCGTGACTACATTGTTAAATATAAGACTTTATTGGAAATCGTCTCTGCAGTTGTTGAGGCGTACAGAAAGGATAACGATACGGCTGCGGAAGAGCCGCACTCTCATACTAAATAAGCGTGATATACCAACATAATGTTGTGTTTCGTATGGTAATTGATTAGAATCGAAAACGAAATGGGTTTCCGATCGTTAAAAGAGAATTCCATCTTGTTCTCAAGGGTTAAAACGGATCGGCATTTTGATTTATAAGTGACTATAGATGTTGTATAAGAGTCACATAATTTCTTCCAAGATGTAGATTTTATAAGCAATATGGCCGGGCTGTTACCACTGTAGCTTATATACTGAAACTTTTTTTTAAATAAATTAAAAATGTAACAATTGCTCTTTTAACAATTTTTAACAAGTATTTCGCAATGAATGTTTTCGGCATGTCGCTTTGTGTCTATTTGTAATAAATATATTATGAAGAATTATTCAGTTAATTTTATTTACGTGTGTTAAGAGATGTAATCTGGCAAACTTAGGGTGCGATCGGTGTTTAGGTTTTTTAAATTATTTTAATTAAGACATCCCGTTGCCTATACACACAAAAGAATGACGTTAACAGTCTTAGTATGTTGGTAACATTCGATAACTTTATATTTATCTATCTAAAGTCCGTCTTACATCGACATTTGTATTTATATCCGGTACGTCGTCTTCATCTGCCCCTGATTCGTAGGTTAAGGAAAATGGCTGTACCTGAAAGATGCACAAATTATTTTTTATTTTGATATGCAAGGATTTCAAAAAGTTAAAAAGGCTTTAAACATTCTGTCGTTACTGAATTTATAAGGTTGCGGAACATGGTATAAGTTTAAAGTATGAAATTTCTGTATTAAATTAAAAATATAAGCTCCCTTTTTACTGAGAAAAGATTTATTAATCGAAGCTTACTACTCTCATAATTTATATATTTCTGACATTTCGAGGGAAGGGAAAAACTCTGGCGATATTAACTTTACAAAGTCTATAAATGAATGCATTTTGTACCGCTACTTGAGAACATTTTTTTTCTTTGTAGGAAATTGTACAAATCGCTTAAGAAGTGGTAAAATTAAAAATGTTGTACAACCGACTTCAATATAAGAACTTTTTTAACAGAAATTATGGTGTACTGAACACATGTGCGTACACCTTTTGAGGGTACAGACGTGACGTTATGTTGTGTGATTGCGCAAATAATGGATATATGTGATAGCAACATTGGCGGTTGATTTGCTGGCATTTATTGAAGGCTGCCGTTGTCTGTCACCGAAACTCATCATCGGATCTTTACGAAACTTAAATGGGACCATTTCGAAATAAACTTCTTTCGAACATAAAATTAATTCTGCAAATCCGTCTACTATTATGTAAAAGTTATGCCCGAACATACATAAAAAAAATATAAACATCCAAATTGAGAATATCCCGGGTCATCCAGGATATCATTTGCCCGGGATTATGCTCACGTGAAAAGAACGGAGGTGGGCTTGTAATCCAGTACCAGAGACATAACACGACCAAAACCGGAAACTAACAATTTGGATTTTTGCACGATTTTTTGGCTTTGGCTGCATTCGAACCCTGACCCACACGTCGTCGTCGTTTCACGAATTGGCCACACTATGTAAATTTTATTTTATTTTTCAGTCCTGGTTTTTTTAGTTTTACTTACATATATACTTACATAGGGCTGCCATCCTTCCGGATTTTCCCAGATTTGTCCTAGTTTGGATGACGTCCGGGGAGCGTCCGGGTGGGGTGTAAATTGTGGTCCGGGTGCAACCCGGATTACAATAAAAGTCCGGATTTTCGATCACATCCCGTTCCCATAAATTATGTAAATAAAAGCTATGGATTATGTATTTTACCGTAAACGATGTAGTTATATGTAGTTTTCTTTTTAATTTAAATTAGTTACACAGTTCTATGAATGTAAACAACAAATTTTATTTTGTTTTTCTTCAATATATAGAAATAAATATGTAGGATTGCTAAAAAAGTTTAAATTTATGGCTTTTTAAGTTTTAGTTCTATAGTCTATTTTAAAATGTGAAGACATTTTGATGTTATTAAAAATACTTTAAGAATTACCAAAACATTAAAAGCATTATTTGACATAAATAAATGCAAATTAAAGACTGATTTAATTAAAATTAAAAATAAAAAAAATTTTTTTTAGTTAAATAGAGAACTAGGCAGAGACGTAGCAACCGCCGTATCAGCCGTATCAATGATAAGGGGCCCCCGAACTACAGGGGCCCCCAACGTGTATGATCAAAAATTCGCAAAATGTTATCACAAATCCACTTCAACTCTTAGGCCGTACTTCCCGAAAAAATAATCATATCATCAAATAGTTCCCAACGTGCCTAAAGAAGACCTGCCAGAAATTGTCCAATTTTCTGTAGTTTTTCGATACATCTCGATAACAGAAAATTATGATAATTTATTTAAAGAAATAATAATCTTTATTGATAAACATATTACAAGCACAAAATTTACGTCGGCTATTAGCCCCTAAGTTGAAAACTCTTACCTACTTTCAGGGGCTAAGTTAATAGTTGCCTAGACGGGGTGCATAATCGGAATTCATATATACTATTTTTCTTCCGATTTTCTCCCTCTGCTGTGTACAGTCATTAATAGAAATATGATAAAAAAACTGACCCAACCCTTCACAAGTCCACTGCTGAACATAGGCCTCCCCCAAAGTATGCCACAAAGCACGGTCCTGAGCCACCTGCATCCATCGACTTCCTGCATGTCTTACCAGGTCGTCACTCCATCTAGTGGGAGGGTCGCCCTACACTACGCCTACCGGTACGAGGCTGCCACTCGAGAACCTTTTTTCTCCAACGGTTGTCGGTTCTTCGAGCTATATGGCCGGCCCATTGCCACTTCAGCTTACTAATCCGTTGGGCTATGTGTCACTTGGTTCTACTGCGGATATCCTCATTTCTAAGTTTATCACGCAGAGAAACCCCGAGCATTACCCTTTTCACGGCTTGCTGAGCGACTTTGAGTGTCCTCATACGGCCAGCAGTGAAGGACCACGTCTCAGTTCCATATGTCATCACTGGCAACACGCACTGGTTGTACAATTTCGTTTTCAGGTTTTGAGGTATACCTGACGAGAAGCAGCATGGCAGCGGCAGGGCAGGGTTCGGGAAATTACGTTGCCCAGCCGAGTTGAATCCGTCGATTGATCTCTCGGTCGAAGTTGGACTTACCAAGTCGGACTATTTGTCCCAGGTAAATGTACTCGTCAACAACTTCGAGCTTAGTGCTCCCAACAACTACCAGCATAGGTGTGCCATGGACATTAAACATGATCTTTGTTTTGTCCATGTTCATGTTAACACCTAAGTTCTGTACTCGGATAGCCATCGTAGCCATACTGTAACACCAAACACTTCAGCACTTCGATATACCGACAGTCAACTTGGCACCGCTGAAGAGATTGTAGCACCGCCCAAATTTCGACGGAATCAAAGGCTTTCTCATAGTCCGCATACGCCAGGCAAAGTGGCAGATTGTACTCTTCGGACTTCTGTACAATTTACCGAAGGGTATGTCTATGGTGCTTTTATTTCGGAAACCGGTTTGTTCGGGAGGCTGGAAGTCGTCGAGTCTGCCTGCGAGACGATTCGTAATGACTCTCGAAAACAGCACGTAGATGCGGCTCAGAAGGGATATCGGTCTGTAGTTCTTCAAGAGAGCATTGTCGCCTTTCTTGAAGAACAAGACCACCGCACTTCTGCTCCACGCCTCGGGAGTAGTGCCACCATGGAGGACGGAATTAAAGAGCTTCTGAAGGACTTTAAGTACCGGTGTTCTACCCGCTTTCAGAAGCTCCACTGTAATTCCATCCTCACCCGGCCCGGGGACTTGCCGTTTTTAAGGTGCTGAAGTGCCATTCTAATCTCACTCAGACTGACGTCCGGGATGTCATTAGAATAATGTCGGATAAGACTTGCTCTTGGATCGTTACTCACACTTGCATGTGGCTTCAACGATGATGTGAACAGCTGCCCATAGAACCTCTCAATCTCCCTCAAAATCTCAGGTGACCCAGAAACGATGCCGCCACGCTCAGTCTTCAGCTTTGACAGTTGGCTCTTTCCGGCAGACAGATCTCTGGCAAAGACTTCTTCAATACGAGCTGTATTGAAGTTGCGTAAGTCCAGCCACATTTGGAGATCTGTCTGTTCAGTTGCCTGTGTGCTGTCAAATATGCTGACGACTGCAGCTTCATTTCCCGTCTAACATCCATGAGATTAAGAGTGTGATCGGAGAGTTTTTGTGTTCTTTTCCGGCTGGTCTTATAGAAGTTAGCTCCGACCGCATGGACAGTTTCTATGAGCTTGTCATTCATATCGTCCACTGTATTGCAGTCATCTAGGCACTGAAAGCGGTTTTGTAGCTCGAGCTGAAAAGTTTCGGGATTCTGAATCAGAGCACGAGGGGGACGGAGCGTTGACTTCATTAGACGAGACCTCTCCAACTTAACGTTTAGGTTCAGTGTTCCTCTAACCTTTCGGTGGTCGCTGCCAGATTTCACCCTTGAGTTTACTGAGACATCACTGAACAGTTGGCGTCTGGTTGTCATAATAAAGCCAATCTCATTTTTTGTCGAGCCGACCGGGTCCACTTCCTGTGGGGCCTTCTGGAATAAAGAGTTCATCATAAAGAGTCCCTCTTTCTCCATAAAGTCAGCCAGCTGCTGGCCCCTACGGTTCCGTTGCCCTACTCCAAATTTCCCTAACTTCAGCTCACCGCTTTCTCTTGTGCCTAGTTTTGCGTTAAAGTCTCCCATCAACACCGTATAGTGGGTTATGGAGGAATGCATGGCTTTAGAGATATCCTCATACATTTACTCCACCTGCTCATCGGGAAGTGCCGCGGTTGGTGCATAAACCTGTATGACCTTCAGCGAATACCGTTTGGTGATTCTGAGTATCAGGTACGCAACCCTCGTCGACACACTCTCAATCTTTACAACGTTGTTGACAAGACACTTGTGAACGATAAATCCGACACCTCCTTGGGACAGATGGTCGCCCTCCCGGTGATAGAACAAGTTGCGGGACTTGAGGATTTTCACCTGTTTCGGTCACTTCCAAATTCTTTGGGTAGTGTTAAGGTAATATCAAGAGAGAACTGTCAAAACTACTTGTCGCTTTTTTGATCAAAATGCCAAAATTTCTACAGCAACGGGATTATGTCATCTACCTACAAAATGGCAACAAGTTATCGAACAAAATGGCACATACTCGTATATTTGTTACATTTAACTGTAAGGAAACTTTGAAAAAAGAATTGTGTAGGTATATGAAATACGAAGAAACTTTTTCCGCGACCTATTAAGTTCGCCGAACTAGACAAGAAAAATTTATATTAGATTTGAATTGTTTGGCTAGCTTAGTTTATTTAGTTTTATTTATTTAGGTAATCATACAGCGTTTTTATCTTATTTACAATACATATTATAATATAGTAAGGCCAATAGAGATTACACAATTTTTATCAACTAATAATTAAGCGTGCGTGCGTGCCTGTGTGTGTGTGTGTGTGTGTGTGTGTGTGTGTGTGTGTGTGTATGTGTGTGTGTGTGTGTGTGTGTGTGTGTGTGTGTGTGTGTGTGTGTGTGTGTGCGTGTGTGAGTGTGTGTGTGTGTGTGTGTGTGTGTGTGTGTGTGTGTGTGTGTGTGTGTGTGTGTGTGTGTGTGTGTGATTATGCCCTATTTTTGTTTATAACATCACGTTTGAAGCGACTCTTGGATAGGTTGAAAATATCCAAGTCAGCGTAAAACTTATTATAGTTTTGAACAATACGACATAAAGTAGAATTTTTTGCGTAATTTGTTTTTGCTCGTGGTACGTGAAATAATGGCGTATGTCTAGTTCGGTATTTAGGTACTAGTATCGATATTTTAGATAACAGGTCTGGACAATCTATGTTACCAGACCATAAACCGTGTAGCAAAAACATATCGTGTTGAAGTCTTCTGAGCTCCAAGGTATCTAAGCGGTAAAATTTGCAAGCATCTTCATATGAAGCAAAACTATTATGATCTTTTGATGAGATAAACTTAATGAACAGTTTTTGAATTGATTCTATTCGATGCTTATGCTTCGCATACTTTGGAGACCAGATTGTATTAGCGTATTCGAGAACACTCCTTACGAATGCAAAGTATAGAGCTTTAATGCAATTAATACTGCTAAAATCGTTGCAGACGCGCTTTATGAATCCAATTTGCTTGTAGGCTTTGTCAACAATGCTATCTATATGCTCATTGAACGTTAATTTTGAGTCCAGCCTGATACCAAGATCTCTAACTGATGATACACTCTTTATGGATTTATTGTTAATTGAATAATTGTAATCTATGAGCTGTTTCTTGCGACTGAAGGTTATTTTGACACATTTTTCACTATTGATAGTAATTCTATTTTTGCTGTAATAAGTTTCTAGGTTTTTTAAATCGTTTTGAATCAGAACACAGTCATCAATTGTTTTTATTTTTTTTATTTTGTTACATTAAATAGTTTGAATGATAGAAGCAGTCACCGATGTCAAATAAATAGGCGTTGTAGAACAAAGGTCCGAGTATTGAGCCTTGTGGGACACCAGATTTTACCATAATAAAATCACTACGAGCACTACCCAGTAACACTGCTTGCCTTCTGTTACTTATGTATGAAGTTACCCATCTGTGCAAATCACCATGAATACCCAAACTGTAAAGTTTACGTAAAAGGATGGCATGATTAACACGGTCAAATGCTTTTTTCAAAGTCCGTGTATATTACATCGACCTGCTGCCTGTCATCCATGCTCATATATATATAATTTGTTAAAGTAGCTAAATTTGTTACAGTTGATCTTTTATTTATAAAACCGTGTTGTTCAATTGTTATTGATTTTAAGATTATGGGACTGATGTGTATAAAGATAAGTTTTTCAAAAATCTTACCAAATGTGTTTAATATGGAGATAGGGCGGTAGTGCTCAATTCTGCTTTTTGGTCCACTCTTATGTATAGGTATTATTAGAGCTTCTTTCCACTTACTAGGAAATGTTCCATAGATGTTAACAGACATATTAAAGATTATTGAGAGAGGCTTGGCCAAGTGTTTTGCACATTTATGTATAAATAGTTCCTATAAGTAGTTTCTAGTAAGTTCCTAGTAGTATTCAAAGCAAATATTAACCTATAATCAATATATAATTTTTTCAATTCCATGCGAGCGGTTTCGGGCCTTTCCTTGGGCCCCCCAACAAATTTTGATACAGGGCACGCTACGCCCCTCTAAGGCACGCTACGCCACTGGAACTAGGTACAGTACCAGTACTTGTTTAAGTGTTCATTTATTTAGGTACATTAAGTGTTACCAAAAAGATAAAATTAATAATATAGTAATTTAAGTTTAAAATTAGAAGACATTTCAATGTCATTACTTTAAGAGTTGCCAAATAATTTAGAAGTATAGTTTTATTTTATTTAAATATTGATTTAATTTAGTTACAAAGATCTATGAACGAAAACAACAAATTTTGTTTCGTTTCTTGTAATATGAAGAAATAAACATGTAAGGCTGTTAGAATTGTTCCTTAGTATAAGTTAATATAACTTTCTGAATTTGATTTAAGATTTAAGTTCTTTTAAAACTAAAGTAAACATTGTTAATTGTAGGGAAAATTAAACGGTTAAACAAGTTTTCATTTAATGTTATTGACTGAGTAACTAATATTGCGTTTGTTTATCTTTTATTCAATACTAAGAAGGTTAAAAATAAAGTAAAATTACTCACTTGTCGTCACAAAAACGATTAAACACACTATTGCACGCAACAAAAGAGGCTTAATATTAAAGTTTTCTTCTATCAAGTATGGAGTAAAATATATTTTAATCAAGATGTAAGTGAATGAAAAAAGTATTGAAATGTCCGGAGTGAAAGCTCCCAAATCCGGGGAACTTACGCTTCCGGTCCTGGGGGGCAGGTTTTAGAGATGGCAGCCCTAATACTTACATAAAGCTTTAGTGTAAGTTCTATTTTTTTTGTTTTTTAAATCTTACTAAGAACTAACTTCAAAAAGCGACAGTAGCCTAATGGCATGGCGCGGATCGTGAACTCAAAAGGTCGTGGATTCGAATCCGCAATTTGACTACTATCGTGAACCACTGTTAACACAAGCGTTTCAAACTTACCAGGAGTGGTTGAAAGGAATATTAGTAATGTTAATTAATAAGATTAATAATATTTTATAATGTGTTCTTATATTTACGCGAACACTACACATTGAAATTATACTAGTTTTTACGGAATTTATCGCGTATATTTAACTTTTTAAATACCCGACGTTTAGAACGCTTTACAGCACTCATGGTCACAGGCGGAAGTCCCGCTTAAAACTAGTATTATTTTAATAATATTTTATTTAAAAAAAACTTACAAGACTTATCTCTTCAGACATAACCGTTGGTATTACGTAATCTGCAGAAGTCGAATCGAATGATTGCTTCACTTTTTTCAACACAGAGGGGTAACTCTGAAAAATAAAAGTATAAAATAGTATAGAATACCCTTTTGAGTGGACTAAGTTGTTACACAAGTTCAAGTTAGGTACTAGATAACTTTTAAATTAATTTAATGTAAGTATGTTTAATGTAACTATTAAACGCTTTGTAACCTTTTTACGTGGTAGAGCCACGCTGCAGCTTAATTATGGTTGTAGCATGAATGGGTCGGCTCGACCGGGGAAGGACCACGCTCTCACAGAAAACTAGCGTAAAATAGCAGCTTAATGCTGCTGTGTTTCGCATGATGAGTGTAGAGAACCGGAGACCCGTTTTACTGGGATCGAGGCATTCCATCTTAGTCCTCAGGGGTGACAACGTATCTGCATTTCAATTCTTAATCGAATGTAGATGTCTATGGGCCACAGCATCCACTTACCATCAGGTGGACTGTGTGCTAGTTTGTCACCCTATTAAAAAAAACCTGTTTTTCTAACCTTAGTTCGATACCTATTTTATTAAAGAAGAATATATTTTTTATTTTATTAAATAAACGACAAATCGGTATCATACTTTTTTTTAAAAGAAGTTTTTGAACTCGGTTAAAATGTAAATTTTTTTACCCATATTCGGTAAGTATTAAAAACATACGAGTAAGATTTTAATATTACAAGGTGCAGGCACTGCTACTTCGCACCAGAACTAGATAAAAGAGTGGTATACCCAGACGAACACCCATACAAATCTTCTATTATCTAGATAGAAAGTTCTATCATCTAGGTAGATTTTAGTTAGTTATAATAATTCATCTCTCTTACAGTACGTTTGCACTAAGACCAACACGTAATATTTTGAAACAAATCGCAAAAACTAAAACACACAACATGTTTTGTTGATGGTGGCGTTCGCGAAAATTTTACACAAAAACTGTGTAAAATTTTCAACAACTATTCAAACATGACAATATTTCTACAAATTTGCTTTCAAACATTTTTTTTCTGTAGTTATGAAGATATAATATAGTTAAAAATATGTAATGTACAATAAACTGTCAAACATATTTCACTACAACATGTTCTCTGACTATGCAAACGCTTTTTGATAAATTGATAGAACAATGTTTAAAACATGTTTTTTGTGAAAATCGCGTCGGTGCAAACTCACGGTTAGGAGGCAATGTGAAGCTTGTGTTCAGCGGTGAACTTTCAATAAACTGTAATAAATTAATTTTTGACCATCAGAAGTAAAATGAGTCTGAATTTTTCGACGTCTTTAGCAGTAACGGAACAATCAGCTGGCGGTATTTCAAGTTATATTAGTAGTATAGTTGTAGCACGAATGGATTGGCTCGACCGGAGAAAGGATCACCTTCTCACAGAATACCAGCGTGAAATAGTAGCTTAAGTAAACCTTCCCCGGCCGAGCCGACCGATTCGTGCTACAACTATACCAGTAATATAGCTGCAGCATGACTCTACCACGTACGGCCTTGTATGGCCTTATGCTGTTGTGTTTCAGATGGTGAGTCTAAAGAACCGAAGACCCTTTTTAGTAGAAACGAGGCATTCCATCTTAATCCTCACGGGTGAAGGTTCATTCGTAATCGGGAATAGATGTAGATGTCACTTACCATCTGGTGCTCTGTGCTCGTTTGTCACACTATCCTATAAAAAAAATTCAAAACGTGTCTAAGTACATAATATAACCATAACCTCAAACAGGCTTTACGCTAATTGGACCCTTGTTATTAGTTGAATTGAAACGGCAATACTTACCTTCAAAATAGCATAAAATTCGGGACCTTCAATGCTTAGTAAGTCTATATTTCTAGACGCAACAATATTTGAACGTGTCCGGTACCTAGATGCACCACGAATATTTCCAAATATTCCACCAGGTCCCATGCAAGCCTCAACCTCATTGCTGTCCGATATAATATCAACCTGCAATGTAAGTTATATTATATTATAAAAATTAAATAAGACACATCTCTAGTTAGGAAGCAGTAATTTTAGCTGCGGCCGCATACGAATTCCGAACTTTTATCAACCATTTTTTTATCATTGTAGGCAACTACAGTATAATAAAATTTTGAATAAGAGTAAAAAGTGAAGTTACGATCTGGATTAAATGTTTACAAAAAAATTAAATCATACTGCCTAAGGCAAAGACATTTATTAAGAACAAGTTTCCGAATTTGAAATAATTTCTTGAAATATATTTCACAATAAACTAATCTGAGACAGCAACTAAATGAGCATCCTTAGCGCTTGTGTCATACACTGTGGGCAGTAGTATAAAATATAAAAATTTAGATTAAGACAGAATTATACATATATTACTTTAAAGCTCTGTGACGCAGCGTGGTTTCAAGCTTAATGTAAAAGATGTCTGTAAAACAACCATTAATAATTGATTAGTACCGCATTATTAACCTTTTCGTGCTTAACCTTCATACTTGTTTACTTTTAGTTTGATGTAATGCCTTAATTGATTATATTGGTGACGAAAAATAATATTAATAGGCTACGAATATTAAGATAAATGAAATTCTAGGAAATTTAATGTTTCGAAAGAAAAGCAGAAGTGACTTTTTGAAAAAGAAAAACAAACTATTCAATTTTTTTTTCACTCGCCAAAATCGATTCGATTACAATAAAAGAAACATGATGCTGACCTTTCCCCGGTAGATGATGTACATGTTGCTTATAACCTCATTCGATCTTATCACCATATAGCCTTTTTGAAAGTAATTTTCCTTCAATTGCTTCGCAAAGGCTCTAAAGAACGAATATTCCACATTTTCAAATAAAGGTATTTCTCGTAACGTTTTCTCATACATGAACAACACAGCGTCTTCGTTTAAGTTCGAGTGCAGTTTTCCTAGTATAGTTTGATGCTAAATAGAAGCAAAGGTATATATTTTATATTAGAGTGATAAACGAGCTAAAGTCTTGAGCACGATCATTCCATAGAGCTAAGATAAAATTCCACACAGCCTGTGATACTGGATCTCTTACTCTTTAACCGAAATAAAACATTGGGTGTGGATGTTATTTGGTGACAGAATTATTTAAAAGAATTATGACGAGCCTAGATGAACTCATAGCATAGAATTCTGAATAGTACAACGTAGTACTCGTAAAGAGAACTGCAGCGTACTTCTTGCTATTGATAATGCACTGCTGAAAATATTTCTCCCCCATAGAATGCCTCAACAAGGGGGGGGGGGATATTCGGTAGTTGTTACGATTGGGAAGCAGATTAACAACCACAGTTTAATTTTATTATTTGAATTGATGTTAGGAAGATGCTGCTGCCCATCTCCCGTTTCATTATCCTCTGTCACCTGTTACAACACCCGGGGGAAAATGCAGGGTAGTCATTGAGCTATTATGTACTACGTACTAGAGGCGACACCGCATTCAGCTACTCTGTTCCTGCGGTGCATACACCGCACTTTAATCAGTCACTCGCTAGGCGCTTGTAGAGTTGTCACGTGTTGTATTGATTTAAAAAAAATCTCTTGAATAAAATATGGCGTCGTGTGTGCTTAGATATTACACAAATAATTCAAGAAATGTCAGTAAAAACCAAGGAATTACTTTACGTATACTTTAAGTATAGAACGAATATATTATTCACATTTTTTTGTAGTAACATATATAAGTTATTATAATTTGTCAAAACTTTTCATGTTTAAATCTGCTTATTAATCTTTTATTTTAGGTTTCCACATCAAAGTCAAAGTGGTATAAATTCGTTCATTTTTAACTCTCGCGTGCCCAGCATTTATGAACGATTTTTATTCTAATTTAAATAAGTATATTTGTAATGTAAATGTTATGTCAATAAGTTTTGTTAAACGTACAATTAGTACGTTTTTTATATTTGACTTAGATACCTTTTAAAATATTCAGATAAAAATATAATTAAAATGTAATTGTGATATAATATCATGTAATATTATATTAAATAAGCAAATATAATATACAAAATAAATGACAAAATTTAAATATTGTTCTCGATATAATTTACCTATTTAATAATACAATCTACATTTACCTACCGATCATTCTACCTATATTTTTATTCTATGATTAAAAAACAACCGCGCGAACACAGAGTAGCGCACATTTTTTGTTTGAGATAGCTGTTCTAGTACGTAAGTACATATTACTTCAATGAGGGTAGTAAATTCTCTAACGCTGCCACAGTATGGCGTCAGTTAGCTATTATCTAACTTTTTACCTAATATTGTTGTGACACCAAATTGCACGCCACATAAGCGAAGCGTTGAGGTTGTGCTCTACTCTCACCTAATGGAAATCCAGTAATTTTCTGAGCTAAAAATGGCTTTATTTTTTTTTACTATTGCACTTTTAGAATAATAAAAATACACATATATCGAGAAAAATTACTCGTTTTCATGTTTCTATTATTTTTAAAAGTAATTTTCTCTATTTAGTGTAAAAACAAACTGATTGAAAAAAAATTCGATGTCTATGATTAGATCGTTAGAATTATTATAAAAATATTTTTTGGTTTAGAATCTCAACCACAGGTTCCTTTTTAATCGCTGAGAATTTGGTCTCTTTTGTTTTGGGTAAAAATATTCTCATAGATCTCTTCTTTCGTCTCAAATATGGAAAAAGAAATATTTTTCTTTTTATATAATCAAATGAGATTATGAGTGCACTTTTGGATTTTCCAAACTTGTTTATGATCTTACTACGCTACAAATACGCATAATAGGTATATTAGTTGCATTGAAAATTTGTCGATATTTTCCTCAACAGTAGTTTAGGGGCCATTTAGTAGCTATAAGGGTCCTATTGCCTCAAAATGGCCCAGTATATATTAATTAAGTACATTAAAAAGCTTAGGAGGTCACTGCTGAAATAAATCATTTGGGCAAACTTTCTGCTCGGTTGGTGGATTTTGGGATTGATCGAACTTTAATAAAATAAACTATACAAGATATCTTAGACCCTACATTTTTTTTAATAACCTCATACGAGTATATATTTAAAATTGATATTATCCTGATACGAGTATACATATATATATATATAGAACTGATTCAAAATTCTCCCATTTTCTTTTAGCTGATTTTACGTCAGGTAGGCGTGATAAAAGCTCTAACCTAGTTATAATATGGCTATACGCAAAGCTAATAGTATATTATACATACTATATATTCCACTTCTAGAAACAAGCTCGATCTTTCCGAATTTCCTAATGACTGAGAAAATACTTTCACACTAGGTTTATTTTACATAGTACTAAGGGCACATGAGTACGGGTTGGCGTGGCTTCACTTTGACTTTTAAATATAATTTAACATGTAAAACATGCAAGATTTGTCATTATGGTTTTCTTTGCTTGAAAAGAAATATTAAATCGGTACTTGAATTATAATTATTAATTTAAGTGGTAACGTCACCGGAAATTCAATTGAACTTTTGCTATTAATTTTTTATGCAAACATCTGGCCACCTGTAACTAACGGTTCTAATTATGGCATGTAAAAAGTACAAATTTATATATTTTTTTGTTAATAGCGACTCAGTAGTACGCTGCGGTGCGATTTCCGCAAAAAACAATTTTGGTATGACATATAAATGATTGATTTGAGTATTTGTCCATATGAAATTTAAGTGTATGAAACGCCTTTTCAGATTTTCTAAACTAATAGAAAATGAAAAATATTGGCCCGAGATCTACTTACTGACCAGCCTCCAGTCCTTTTCCATTGATACTTCCAGTAGTCGATGATTGACCTTTTAAGCAATAACGCAACTTTCTCGCTACTCAAAAACAATTCTAAATGTTTTAAATTTTCTTGAAACTTTGTTATCATCTGATCAGCCATAGCTTTTAGGGACGCCATTCGTGCATACACATAGCTACAATTACAAGAATTCATTCGATACGTCTCAATTGTACATTGATGATTCACTTCTAATTTGCAAAATAAAATATTATAAAAACGAAATCGACCCACCCAAAGAACAAAACGCCATGTACGTTGATACAAATGGAGAGGATCATGTGGGTGGTGTCTTGAGCAAGGATATCACCGAAGCCGGCGCCGCTAAAACTTGTAGCAGACCAATAATAAGCCAAAAGATACGCCTTCGTCGGCGTTATGTTTTTAATTTTAAATGTTTTTGCTTCATCTAACCAAGAGCCTGTGTGTTGCATTATATTAGAAAGTACAATAAAATGATTTCTTAAATTTACGCGAACACTATACACTGAATAAAACTATAATTTATTACTAATTTATACGGGTGCTTTACAGCGCCCATGGTAAATGGTAAAGCACCCGAAACGTCGGGATAATAAAAATAAATTAAAATGGTAACTAAACGCGATAAAATCCGTAACTGATAGTTTTATTCAAAGTATAGTAAATTTGTAGCATACGTGAATTGAAATAATACATACCAAGTCGACATATCATATTTCCCTCAGGGTTATAAACAGCGTCCATTAATGGACCATTCCTTGATAACACGCCTATTCTTCGTTCAAACTCGCTTCGATTGGAGGCAATCACATACGTGCAGGACATTATTATCAGGATCGATGTATATAAATTTAAAAAGAATATTGTCAATAAAATAAACTGGACTACACTCATTAGATATGCCTGTAATCAAAGTACGGGTATATTCAGTATTTTTTTAATCAATATTTTATAATGACTATTATATTATGTCTTTAAAATATATAACATCAACCCGAAACTCTACTATTGTAATGCTTATGCATCATAGAGACCTTCAATAATAGTGCTTTTGTATTATAGACCTTACTATAATACGTCCCTAATATAGGACTACACATTGTGCAACAGTACTTTAAGTAGTCGGCCAACTACCCCACATATATGTACAGCCTTGGGTATGCGTCTCCGGCAACTATATGAATAAACAGTATTTACACGAACACCCTCCATGTATACAAGAACACGCTGCTACTTTACATGAACACGCTCAATATCTTAAGCAATTTTCGAGCAAGTTTCAAGTTATAAAGAATACCTACTCGTTTTAGTGCGCCAATAGATTCTGTCCAAAAGGCAGCGTATAACTTATGAATCTGCAAAACGTTAATCATTCGTAACATACAATGGTATAAATGACTATTAAGATAATGCTCCTCTTGGCTGTGACTTTCATTATGCTTCCGTACAAATATTTGCCATAAAGCGTACCAAGGAAAACATGTCAGGAAATCCGCTATAAACCCATTCTGAAATTGATTACATCCTTAATTTAATACAATAATACAAGAAGGAGGCCAATAAAAGTAAGTAACGTAAGGACTGGATATTTATTGATATCTAAAAATATAAGAATACTTTTTATTTTAATTTTATATTAAGAAAATGCGTTTTTTGTGATAATCTGGTGGGAATTCACTCACAACAATGAAACTCAATCGAGGTGATCTTCGCGCTGATTTACTATGACTACATAAAAGACTTTAAACCTCAATAATGTTGTGCAATTTTCTACAATCTTCGGCAGTCGAGAAACTTTATTATTACTATTTGGATGTCTGTATGTTTAGTTGCGTTTGCAGGCAACTGAACTCATATTAATTTGTTGAGGACTACAATTACATTTCACATCTAACAACCGTGAGATTAAGAGAGTAATGGGAGTGTTTTAGGTTCCTCTGCGACGGGTAAAACAAATTTTAGCGGATTATTGCAGATTGATTTTAACTCTTAAAAGTCTTTTGTTAAAAGCTTTCGGGATTTTAGACTACAGCTCGTGAGCTTTCAATTAGATCACGAGGAAGAGGGAGATGGAGCGGTTACTTCATTGCACGTAATTTTTCGTGTTCGCTACTAGTTTCCTTAGCGCGATCACTGAGATACTCGTACCACTCAACAATTATCGCTTGTTAGTTAGAATGAAGTCAATCTTATTTTCGTCGAACCGTCAAGGCACTGGGGCTCCGTCACCCTATTCCAAGTTTTACTTCCTTCAGCTCATTTTCTTTTCTTTCACCTAGTTTCGTATTATTAACTCCCATCTACACAGTGTCTTGAATTTTGAATGAATATATAAGTCTAGAGATATATTCATACACACATAACCTTCCAAATCGATTAATATATCGCTTGCCCCTCTTTATCAGTGTGAGTCAAGATTGGTGCGTAAACCTGTATGACCTTCAAAGAATTCCCTTTGATGGCTTATACCTATAAAGTACGCAACCGAGACACTTCCGATCTACATTGATGACTACGTTGTAAATAAGAATCTTCTGAACGATAAAAACTACATCTTTTCGGGACAGATAGTGTTACCCGGTGAGTACCAAATTGCTAGATTCGAGTGTTACCGTGACCTAATCTTTTCGGTCCGCACATAATCCTATAATATCACAGTGCAACTTGCCTATCTTTTCTTCCAGCACGCGGTATATGTTGCCAGGTCAAGTCGTTTTAGGTGGAAACCGAACCTTGGCTTGTTAGTACCCCTTGCTCCGCAGTCACCAGTAGCCAAAAATAGCGAGGCCGCCGCCGACTGGAGGTCGTTTCTTTCATTCATTAATCATCTTTATTATATTAACAATTGGGCCCGATTATTGGCACTTTTGTCGAGATTCAGAAATCACTCGTACAATGCCAGGGTGGATCGCTAGTTAAGAACAAATGTTATAATTTTTGAGCATCAGGTTTCTTTTAACGTGACCCGACTTATGACTGACACTTGTGATATTTTTGTGTTTTGAGTATTTTGTGATGTTGCTGACAATTAAATATTACTCAGAATATTAATGCCTTCTTCTTCCTTCATAAAAATGATGTAGTTACTCTTACCGTAACATACTTCTTTGCTGTCAGATATGGATGATAAATCAACTGATTTTTATTGCCGTAAAACGCGACATGGAGCATCAAATAAAGGTCAATATAAGCTATTGATTCGAAAAGTAACAGTATTATATTATAACTTCCATATAAAGGAGCCATTGAAACCACGACCTGAAAACATGTTATTTGCAATTATATTAAGTCGTCGGTAGTAATACCTATAATATTAATTTAAAGGAGCACGTTCATGTTTATTGAGATATCTTACCGGTATTAATAAACACATTATAAATGCAGAGGAAATTCGTATAAGAGCCCAGGTTTTAAGAAAAACACCATCAGGTTTAATCGCTATCGGCATTAACATGTACGGGGCTACTTTGTTCAGAATCGCAAACTGATCGAAAGATTTCAGGTAACTCTCATTTCTTTTTTTATATTCTTTATAGACATTGATAAATGAATCTGAAAGTTACAAAAAATTATCAATTTAAAATAATACGCCTGATATTCAAAGAGATAACGAAGCCTTACAAGTTATCAACATGGCTGGACTGGGTTTTCAAATCGATGTACTCGTATGTTAGCGGCATAAGAGAAAATTTATTTCACGGTTTTCGAGATGACTTAAGGAAAATCTTAGACTATGTGGCCTTTGACTGATGCTATTATGCACACACGTGTGTGTGTGTGTGTGTGTGTGTGTGTGTGTGTGTGTGTGTGTGTGTGTGTGTGTGTATGTGTGTGTGTGTGGCTGGTTTTTTTTGTGTCGGAGGGTGGTTTTGTGTTTTTTTTTATAACGCCATATGACTGCTTTATAAGTTCTTATAGAAAATTCTCAGTAGCAGTCCAAATTCAGGAATTTGGCGGTATTCCACCCCCGTGCCACGGAAAGTACGTGAAGCCGTTCGTCCTGCGCATTATCTCTTTCTGATCATGTATGATTGCTGTCCTGTCGGATTATGAGAGTGAGCGAAAAGAGAGACATCTTTGTTTCTACACTCACGCTTGCGCTATATTTTCTGTTATTATGTTGCTAGTCTCCTATGAGGTTGTCTACTTTGACCGAAATTCGGTCTATAGGATTGGTGTTTGAGAGGGCTGATTGTTTCTCACCACTGGACCGATTTTGAAAATAAAATTAATTATATTTATGTTAACTCAAACGTTGGAATTCCTTGAAGTTTAAAATCAGAATCCGCGATTCATTTACTTACCCTGTGATAGAAGATATGAGTATTTGCCAACTTCATCGCAGGTTCTGAGTTCGAATTCGAGTTTCGAATTAAGATAAACGAGTTACGGCTTCATTTCTTTGTCCTGCAATAATTCTTTTTTCCTTTTAAAAAGGACAGTAATTAATCTATTTAGGCTTACCATATGGAAATTTATTAAATTAATGATTAAATAATAAATCATCTAAGATTCGCATGTGATATGAAATGGTGTGTATTACCTTTTTTGACCTTCCTTCCTCCCACAATCGCGTGTTATGTTGGCAGTGATGATGCACGCCATTGTGGGAGGTAAGGAAATGGGACAATTAATTTTCTCATAATATATTTCATTAAATACGATGATAGGCGACATGTGATCACAATCTTTACCCATTATTAGTCCGAGCATATAGATTTTTATGGACACAGAGGCGACATAGTTAATTACAGCATAGATTTTTGTAGAGCTTGCATTTCTATGAACAATCTTTTATATTGACACAGCTTCATGTGACCGAGGGGTCTGTAGATGCTGTGTGGTACAGTCGAAGCAGTTTTCTGGGCGAAGACATGGTGTGAGTTGATGATTGCAGAACCAGATTTCTCGCACCTCTACGATGAACCAATGATGGAGAAAAATGGTCGGGTTTTTACCTGACGGGGGTTCCGCCTGGCTTAAACGTGATGGTTACACCGCTACCGTAGTCGCCTACCACGACTCCCACTAGATCAATAAGGGTGGTAGATTCTGTGACACAATCTATCTTTATATAAAATCCTTGGTGGTGCTGTTACTGATTGTGAAACTTCTGAACGATTGGACCAATTGAGGAAGTATTCACGCAATACGCCGTATTTCATCGGACTGAACGTATTTTTATCAAGGTTATCATAAGAACGCTTGTAACAGACAGACATACACCCTGACAAACCCCAAGGTGATCCCGATTTTTTTTAATTTTCGAATGGAACACTAATGATTGTTGTAAAGTGAAGTCCATGCGACTAAAGCCGCAGAAAAAAGCTGATTCTATAAAAGAAATATATTTTCATTTATTTATATAGCCTATCAAAGTCCACTGTTGAAAATAGACCTCAACATAGAATGAATCATAAAGCGGATATTTGCTATAGTTCACAAAAGTGTTGGCACCCGCAGATTTTTTTATTTAAACTATTATATATATATATATATATATATATATATATATATATATATATATATATATATATATATGTTATTGATAATTATAAATATATCAATAACGGAGTTTTATATATAAGTTTATTTATCGAAAATCCAATATTTTAAAAAATATCAACAGTTTTAGTTTGCAATGATCAGTTGAACTGACCGTGAGTGGCGACCATTAGAGCCATTACAACGGATTTTTTACAATATTAAAATATACATAAAATGATTCCTATAAAATTGTCTTTCTTTTTGTGTCAACTACTACATTTTAAAGTAAAAAATTAAAATTGAATAATACCGTCCAAGAAATCCTGTAGAATGTTGGTTATTTTTGTTTTTTGATTCTTTTTAAAGAAATTATAAAGTTGAAAATATGAATTAGCAGTATGAAGTCTCGCATGATCTTCGATCATTTTTAGTTCATCCGACGTTAAAAGACCTTCGTGCTCTCTCATATCAGGAAATAGGTTCAGTGCCGACGTGTATGCAAAGTGACTTATGCTTATGAGCTGAAATCAATAGGAATTTTTAATTTATAACAATTTTCTTAAAACGTAGTTGCTTATCATTATCATCACTGCATCACTTCTTCAGTCGACTGATGAACATAGGCCTCGGATGCTGCAAAACATGGCTCTGACCTGTCTACATCCATTAACTTCCAAAATGTCTTACCAGGTTCTCACGCTATTTATTATCTACATCATCTTACAGGAAGGTACGAGGCAGCCACTCGAGAACTTTTCTTCCCCATCGATTTCTTTCAGTTGTATAGGTGGCCCCTTGTCTTTTCAGCTTAATGATCTGTTGAGCTATGCTGCTTACTCTGACTCTGCTACAGATATCTTCATTACTAGTTTAAAGAGTTATTACAGGAAATTTATTGTAGCATAGCCCTCTTCATAGTTCGCTGAGTGACTCACAGGCCAGCAGTTAAGGATCGCATTATAGATTCATATGTCATAACTGACATCACGCACTAGTGTTCTGCTTTTCAGGTTTTGAGGAATACGTGACGAGAAAATGTATCGTAATCTCCCGAATGCTGACCAACTATAACAGAAGATCAGTTGTTTATTATGGAATCAAATATTGTGCTATGCTGAATATCTTTAATATTTTGTAAAATTAGTAGACTGTCCATATCTACTAAGTGCAATAAATTTCAATGTATCATTCGAGCTAGTGCGTCTCAGCCGATACGTCCCCTTTTCAGTTGAAGACAGTAAAACTAATTTGGGTCACCACGCCACCATAAACATGTTACAGATGCAATATAACCAGCTTTGCAAGACATGTGACGTCGATATCTTGCTGATAAGGCTCTCAAAATCAAGCGAAAATTTTTGCAGTCCTTTACTGTTACTGTGTTTAAGTGTAAGGTGACCCCCCACTAAATGGATTGACGACCTGGTAAGACATGCAGGAAGTCGATGGATGCAGGTGGCTCAGGACCGTGCTTTGTGGCATACCTTGGGGGAGGCCTATGTTCAGCAGTGGACTTGTGAAGGGCTGTAATGATGATGATGATGATGATGTCTACAAAGTATCTTGGGTCAGTTTTTTATCATATATCTATTAATGACTGTACACAGCAGAGGGAGAAAATCGGAAGAAAAACAGTATATATGAATTCCGATTATGCACCCCAATCGGAATTCATATCTTTGTGGACATCATCATTATCATCATCATTACAGCCCTTCACAAGTCCACTACTGAACATAGGCCTACCCCAAGGTATGCCACAAAGCACGGTCCTGAGCCAACTATTACGTCTAGGCAACTATTAATTTAGCCCCTGAAAGTTGAAAGATGATGATGACTGTTAATGCTAACATTTGGGTCTAGTTTTAAGTTTGTAGTTGTAAGTTTTAAGAAACATATTTGTTGTCCACATTGCATGCCGTGGCAACTTTTAATTAAGACGACACTTAGATATAAACTTTCCTGTTATTTCTAGTATTTACATTGTGTTCGTGTATGTCTTGTTGGTTGTCCTAAACAATAAAAAAATTGATCTCAATGTCATTTTTATTAAATTAAATACAACTTTGGTGGCGGCACAAGAGAATGAATTACTGCCCTAAGTCATCCTACGAGTATCGTTAGAGACAACATGAAACTGGATAAGAGCTTTGATGCATTTTCCTGATAACAACCAAGCGTGGTAACGGTGGCAATTATACTCCCTACGAGACAATCTATGGCCACAGTTTAATGATCTTTTAATTGTGCTTTGATGACGTTGATCCTCTATGTTCCGCATTAGACTTTTGAATGAATGAACAATTTTATTTAAATTTTTAAATTATTTTTATTACATTACATAATATTTACCGTGTAGTGGCGGTGTAAGCATATCGACAATCCCATATCATCCCGTAGGTGTCGTAAGAGGCAACGAAAGAAAAAAAATCAGGAGATTGGCAACTACCTACTAAAAATAAAAAACTGTGCTTGCCAACCCGCTTGCCAAGCGTGGCAACTATGGTAAATATCCCCGCTATGAAGCAATCTATGGGGGGGGCCTATGTTCAGCAGAGGACTTTTGTAGGCTGTCACGGTATTACATAATATAAAAAGTTAGGACACAGTGGGGGCTATTTCGAAGTTTTGTATTTCAAGATCTTAGACAAATCTATTAAAATTAGCTTAGTGCATAAGTAAAACCCACTGAACAACTGATAACTTTACTTACCTTGCAATGGGTTAGGGTTACAACAGTGTTGACAGCTGGCACTCCGTACAACATCACCAACAAACCTAGGTGATTTCCCGGGCCGATGACTCGTTCCTTCTTCCCATCCTTCAGCGTTTTAGACGTTACCAAACAGTACCCTCGTTCGATTATGTATAATTCCCTTGAAATCGTTCCGCCATAGTAAACTATTTCACCGGGTGGAAGGATTATGTCTCTAGCCGCTGTAGAAAATTATAGCTATCACATTTTTTACATTTAAACTAATTTCGCGAAATCATCTATATAATAATTCTTGAATAGTGTGTAGTATCAATATTGATCAGAGCGTTACCATAGACACTTCATAGAACCTGGATCAACAAATCAACAAGAAAATTAATTATCTATGATCTGCTTTAATAAAACAAAATGATGTGTCTTACCTAGTTTGAAAAGCACCTCCCTCCATCCAGCAATCGTGTGCACTATCTCGTCACCACTAATCCCAAAACCACTAGGTACTCCCTACTCAGACTTTCGTGCTCTTCAAAGTTCAGACTAGGTAACACCATCATTTTATTTTTTGATTTCCGCAAAGTAAACCCAGATTCTATTAATTGTAAATTGCATCGTTTCTTGTTGCTTTATACGGGGCTTACATGAAAAGCTATAATTCTCAAAAAGAAGATAATAGACTATTGTATACTGCCCTGCGTTACTTATGGATGCCAAACATGGATATTTAATAAACACAACAGTGACAAGATCGCAAAATGTCAAAGACGAATGGAAAGGACAATTCTTAACATAAAATTGAAAGACAGAGTAAGGAACTGGGAATTAAGGAACAAAACAGAAGTAATAGACGTTCTTCAACACGATCAAAGGTTGAAATAGCGATGGGCAGGACATTTAGCACGCATTTAAGACCAAAGATGGACTAAATCGGTGACAGAGTGGCAAGGACCAGCTGGAACACGTGCAAAAGGCAGGCCAAAAGAAAGATGGTTCGACGAGGTGATGGCTACAGCTGGGAAAAACTGGATGAACAAGGCACAGGACAGACAAGTATGGGCAGCTCTGGAGGAGGCCTTTACCCGAAGAGGGGTCCTCAAATAACAGGTATAATAAGTACAAATTATAAATATACTTAAAATAATAAATAAGTACTAAAAATAGTTACGACTCTATTTAAAAAAAATTAATAAGATATAGGTTGGTCCAAACAGTGAGGTTATAAATTTTTTTTGATTCCTCACACCTGGGGGTATCCGAAAATACCCTATGTATGTTCCGCGATTTTTTGTTTTCGAGTTATGATTTTTTTTTATCCTTTTTTTTGAAAATGTTCACCATAAACAGCCTAACATTAAAAAAAAATGTAATTGTGAGATTTTTTTCCAAGTTTTTTGTTTGTAGCATGATCCTTATGAGTTGCCCTACTATGCATAAAATAATTAGCTTCCTAACATTCACCGAAGATACAATAATTTTAATCGAAACTTAAAAATTTTCTGTCAGGAGAGTGTGGCTTGAATTTTCAACATTAAATTAAAAATAGTAATAAATGATTTCATACTTTCTAATTAATTTTAAAAACTTGGCAGTACCTTAATCTTTCATAATAACATTAAAAAAATGACACTTAATAGGCCAGTTTTTCTGTTACAGACTTCTGAAGTTACTCAGGCAGGAAACTACCTGAATAGTTAATTTGATTTAAAAAATCTTTTTATCATTTCTAGGGCTAAACTAAGATAGTTAAAGCTTCATGTTAGCAAAGAAAACTACTTATTGTTAAAACGTGACATATATTAAGGTATCATTTTACTACAAACTACATGTTTTTTTTATTTCACTCAAACTAAATGATAGCACATTCAGTCACAAACACACAAAGGAATTTTAAACAAAGGCTTAGATAAACATTCCTGCTTTGCGCTCCATTTTGTTACCAGGCCGTACCCCGCGCCCCGTGCCACACTGACCGCGTCCCTTTTCAACCTCGCTCGGTCCCGCCAGTCGTTCACTGCTTTCCCGCGTGCAACCACTACTCACGTTTACGTTTATTTGGATCTCTTATTTGACTACCTTCGCTTTGTTTCCCGGATTCTTGATTTGCCTTACGATTGACCAGTGCTTGTTTTATGGACCTTGAGTTGCTTAGTGATTTGTATTACTTTAAGCAATGAGTTATTCTCTCAGTCATTACGCAGAGATGCACTATTCCACGGTGTTGCCCAAGGAAACGGCGCATTAGCGACACGGCTTTATCGAGAGCAACTGGAGCGGCGAGGAGAAGTGTTAGAGCATTACCCGGGCTACAGGGTTTTTAATAACACCCACGAAACCCTGATGGGTGGACGCGTTCCTGGGCGTAATCAACGTCGCGAGGGACTACCCAGAGTGGATCCAGAAAGAAGAGATGTAATCATTGAAGAAGTAGAAAGAGACCCTTCTACTTTTCACGAGCGATTACGAGAAGGACTGGAATCCCAAGGACTTCAGTTTTAAGAATACTGAAATCAGGTGAGTGCATTTTATTATTTTGTAGACCTCTGTATTCAAAATCCCAACACATTGCTGCACTGCCATTTTAAATCACACTCATTTAATTTACTGTGAATTGTCGATGTCTAATGTGTTGTGTATGCGTGTAAAAGAGAGAGATGTAGAGACCCTTAAGCAAGCACTCGTAATTCAAAAATAGGCGCTAGTACGCCACTCTAACGAATCCCAACTTTTAGTTTCACGTTCACGTACTCTATCGGTACGTACCTCTAGTATTGTGTACAATGCCAACCTACAATAAAAATACTAATAATTTTTTTCCAGAGGGATATCGCGCGTTTCATATTCAGCGTATTCAACAACTTAACGACGCAGACTATCCAAGGCGTGTTGCTTTCTGTCAAATAATGCTGGAAAGATCTGCGGAAGACCCGGATTTTTTTTAACGAGATACTCTGGACGGATGAATCCCCGTTTGAAAGGACTGGCGTTTTAACATTCACAATTATCATAGCTGGGCCATTGAAAACTCAAAAAAGCAAGGCAGTCAAATTTTAAGAACAGATTTAGTATCAACATGTGGTCAGGAGTCATAAATGGAGAAATGGTTGGGCCCTTTGAATTGTCGGCTAGGTTGAACGGGTCCCAGTACCTGAACTTTCTACAAAATAACTTAAATGGTTTATTGTTTGAAGTTAATTTACAAACGAGGAGGGATATGATATTTCAAAATGACGGTGCTCCTTGCCATTTTAAAAGACAAGTGAGGGAGCACCTCAACAGAACTTTCTCAGGAAGGTGGATTGGGCGTGCAGGACCAATCGAATGGCCTGCACGCTCACCAGATTTAAACCCTATAGATTTTTTTATTTGGGGATTCTACAAAGAGATGGTGTATGCTAGAGAAATTAATTCGGAAAATGAATTAAGGGAAAAATTGAGACAGTGCGCAGAAAAAATAAAAGAAAATACGAATGCCTTTCGAAGACTAAAAGCAAATTTTTTAAGACGATGTAGACTATGTATCGAAGTTAATGGCTGCCATTTCGATTTCAAATTTACTTTAAATAAATTTATCTTAAATTATTTACTAGTTTTATTATGAATCTTGAAATCAATTGTCCGGAACGTAGTAAAATGATACCTCGTTGTCAATAAATTTTATACAATAAGTAAAGACAGTGGATGTTATTTTTGCTAACCTGAAGCATTTACTGTCTTAGTTTAGCCCTAGAAACGATAAAAAGATTTTTTTAAATCAAATTAACTATTCAGGTAGTTTCCTGCCTGAGTAACTTCAGAAGTCTGTAACAGAAAAACTGGCCTATTAAGTGTCATTTTTTTTAATGTTATTATGAAAGATTAAGGTACTGGCAAGTTTTTAAAATTAATTAGAAAGTATGAAATCATTTATTACTATTTTTCATTTAATGTTTAAAATTCAAGCCCCACTCTCCTGACAGAAAATTTTTAAGTTTCGTTTAAAATTATTGTATCTTCGGTGAATGTTAGGAAGCTAATTATTTTATGCATAATAGGGCAACTCATAAGGATCATGCTACAAACAAAAAACTTGGAAAAAATCTCACAATTACATTTTTTTAATGTTAGGCTGTTTAGGGTGAACATTTTCAAAAAAAGGATAAAAAAATCATAACTCGAAAACTACAAAAAATCGCGGAACATACATAGGGTATTTTCAGATACCCATAGGTGTGAGGAATCAAAAAAATTTATAACCTCACTGTTTGGACCACCCAGTATATTGTAAGAAAATATTTTTTAAAAGAAAATACTAATAATATAAATCTGTGTAACTAAAATGTCAAAATTGTTTTATATAAAAATTAAATTATCTAAATAAAAGCAAATTAAATGCAAAATAAAATTTCCAATTGAATGAAATTCTAATATTATAATAATTCATGTACTTAAAGTTATTAAATTGATTTGTGTAACAAATTTATTCAGTGTAATGAAATTTCCAATTAAATATAATTCTTACATTATAGTAATGCATGTATGTCTTAAAGTTATTAAATTAGAGTAACAAATTTATTCAGTGTAATTCAATTATATAATTCTTAATTATAATGCATATTATTATTATGTTTTTGAGTGTAAATGAATTTTCCAATGGAATGTAAGTCTAATATTTATAATAATGCATGCACTTAAAGCTATTAAAAATAAATTTCGAACAAATTTACTAAGTGTAAAAAATGAGGAATAAAAGGCAATTTTATTTATTTATTTATTTATTTACATGAAAAGTGTCAGCTTAATAAGATATTGTTTTTTTTTTAAGAACAATCTTATAAATGACCAATGCATATTATCGATAACTACTCGTATATATAACACCAATTAATACACGCAGTAGACGATTTGCCGTCTATGTACATTATGATACATAGCAGCAAGTACGTTTCAGTAAATAGCAGTACATTGCAGTGTGTTTCGGTGTGAAGGGTACCAGAGAACCAGTGTAATAACAGACTATGAAACATTCCATCTTAGTGAGAATGCAACTGTAGCATTTTTGTTTGTTTGAAGTAGGCTGCATGTGCCCATAGACTCTATTAGCCACTTAACATCAAGGTTTTATTACGTGTCAAAAGCAGTTGTATAAACATCTCTCACAGAATATTAGCGTAAAGGTAGGACCGCACTAGGCGGATCTGCACCGCAACGGAACTGAGCGACTCGAGTTGGTCAGTTGATCAACTTTGCCGCGCAGTTCTGCTGCAGTGTAGTTCCGTTGCCGCTTAGTGCGTGTTGTCTCATATAAAAAATATTTTGACGAGTTGCGTCGTGTCGCTCAGTTCAGCTGCGGTGCAGTTTGGCCCAGTGTGGTCATACCTTAAAGAAGCAGCGCAATACTACTGCATATTTCTTTTGGTGAATGACGAGAACCGGAGATATTTTTTATTGGCAACGGAGCGTTCCATCTTAGTTCTCAGGAATGACAACGCATCTGCAAATTGATTCTCAATATAGGTGGTCTATAGAACACATGATATATTTACTACCATCAGGTGGACTGTGTACTTGTTTGCCACACTTACCTACTTGTATAAAAGAATATCAGCAGGACATTAGTACGTACTTTCAGTAAGTGTTTGAATGTATGCCTTATTTTTTACTTGAAAGAACTTAATGGACGTGAGAGCTTTAAATCTCGCTTGATGTAAGACTTTTTTTCGTAACTCAGTGGGGACGACCGTTGTGTCCAACCAGCTCTCATCCGTTAATTCTACACCCTGTAAACGATGATGAGGATCAAATATTATTATTATAGAACAACTTTAACTACGTTTTTATTTTTCTGTTTTGTTTTGAATAACACCTATTACCGTTCCGTTCTTTTTATGTGTTGTTTCAGGAAGTCAGAAAATATTGAAAACATTTATTTTTTACGTGTTTTATATAAAATTACAGTTTAATATAAAACTAAATTATTATTTATATTATTACATTTATGCAAAATAGGTAGGTAGGTCTAGGTAATCTATAAATTTTATCACTTACTTAACTATATCTTCAACGGATTAAGTTAAAGACGATAAAATACAATATTTATTTATGATTTTACCGAATTGTATTGCCACTGTAATTCGTAGAACGCCATAATTCTAGATTTAATAGCTTGACTCATATTATTTTCCTTCATGAATTTGTCAATGGTAATTATCACTTCCAAAAATGCTGTTTTTGTTCTGAAATTTGTATAAACTACTTTTCAATATCGATCGCTTATAATGTACTATTATTTTTAGTATTTAGTAATTTTTAATAAGCCTGTGTTGTAGTCAGTACCGTCTTTACCATAAGGGTTTACCACACGGGGCCAGTGCCCAGGGCCATCGTCAAGGGGGCCCCATTGACGAAAGGCACCGAACTTATTCGCTTACGCCATAAAATATTTTGTCTATTTTTGCCAATTAACAATAATAAATGTATGATCATAGCAGAAAAATGTGTTTGTCATTCAGTTTTTTTTTACTTACCAACAGGGCCCTAAGTTCTTGTGTGCCCAAGGGCCCCGGTATGGCCTAAGACGGCGTTGGTTGTAGTAGGACCACAGAAGTCTAAATACCTTATTATTTAGATTTCTGAGAGTAAGGGCGCTGCAACCAGGTACCTTGTTTGTTTTTAATATTATGTTCTTCTTATTACTTAACACTAAGTTCAAGAACATATACTCCTTCTTCATCAGTCTCTAAAAAGTTCAATGCTAGACGTGGGCCTTTCACAAGTAAGAAATAAAGCCTATATATTTACACACTCTTTGGCCCGTCACCGTGGCGAGAAAATACCATGAAACAAGTGGTAAAGTTAAAAATAAAAATAACAACCGACTTCAATATAAATAAAAAAAGAACATCGTCAATGTAGTCGAAGTCAATACGTATTACGTAATTTTTTTATAAGATAAGAGTGACAGACCGGCATACAGTCCGCCTGATGGTAAGTGGTTGCTGTGGCCCATAGACATCTACATCTATTCTTGATTACGAATCAAAATGCAGATGCGCTGTCACCCGTGAGAACTAAGAAGGAATGCCTCGTTTCCTAAAATGGGTCTATTAAATACGCATTATTAAGGATAACTCAAAAACTACTAGTCTACTTGATAAAATTTATATGGGATCACATGAGAAGCACCAGCTCTCAAATAAAAAAAGAATCATCAAAATCAGTTCTCCTAGAAAAAAGTTCTGAGGTAACATATAAAAAATACAGTCGAAATGAGAACTTCTTTTTTTTGAGTCGGTTGAAAAATAATATATACATAGAAAATTCTTTATTGCACTCAAACAAAAACAAACTTTGGTACAAAGGCGAACTTAATGCCGAAAATGCATCCTCTGCCAGCTACAGCAACAATGACTCACGGTTTCGCATGAATTTTGCACATAATCACGAAGTCAAAATTATTTAATGCTACAATAGTATAAAGACATTGAAAATGATGTGAAATAAATTTAGTGGGTCAGGCTAGAAATTACTATGTGTACCTACTTACATAAATAAACTTATTTTTACCTTGACCAATGTGTCACAACAGAGGAAAACTCCGATATACAGTAACCGGTAAGCAAAACGCCGTAAAGACTGAGAAAAGCAACTAATCCCATGTCGCATTTGTCACCAGGAATGAAATCACCATAGCCAACGGAGAGCAAAAGTGTAGTGGCGAAGTATATGGACGTAATTAATGGAAACTTCGTTTTGGTGACGCTAAAAGTATATGAGTTTTAAATTACTGTCTTTAAAGGGTATTTAATTAAAAAAATTCTATACAGGTGCAGATAAACACACATACATAAGCACTCATGCCTGTCACCCAGAGGAGTAGGCAGCGACTACAGACGGAGGTCAGGATCGTATCCTGACCCACCTCTCTCGCCTCCTCTACATCCATATGCCTACGCATACATGCTCATCGGTTAAGTGTACTATTAATTTGGCCCATTTTCAATATATCGCCGATTTGGAAGATAAACTTTCGCTAGGACGTTCCTTTCTGCATCATAAATTGGCTTTGTCACTTTTTCCCCATTCATTCTTTCTACATGACCAAACCACGGAAGCATTTCTTTATTTCTTTCTTAATCCTGGTCACGACATGATCTTGCTAATCACACTTTTCTCTTACCACGAGTTACCACAGTTTCTCACCCTGTCACTCAGATTCAGCCCTAACATACTCCTCAACGACCGAATTTCTACTGCGTTTATTCTACTCCCGTGCTTCTTCTGCCACACCCAACCTTCACTACCGTACGTTAATTTACGGACTAACACAGCATTGTGAATTGCTATACGTGTCTTTTTGATATAAACAATGAGCACAAATTAAATTTCAAAAAAGGAAACAATTTTAATAATTGCATAATTATCTCATACGGTATTTCATTATTGTTTCAGGTCTCGTTGTAGTTATTTTTTTAATGGAATAAGGGTGACAAACGAGTACACAGTTCACCTGATGGTAAGTGGATACTGTGGTTCATAGACTTCTACATTTATCCTCGATTAAGAATCAAAACGCAGATGCGTTGTCACTCCTGAGGGCTAAGATGGACTCGTTTTCAGTAAAAAAGGGTCTCCGGATCTCACCATACGAAACACAGCAGTATTGAGCTGCTATTTGACGCTAGTATTCTGTGAGAACGTGGTTCTTCCCCGGTCTATCCGACCTATTCGTGCTACAACCATAATATCATGCAGCGTGGCTCTACCACGTTTGAAAAGTTAACCTCTTTTTAACAAAAGAAAACATAAATCTAGGATTTCATCCTGTAATACAAAGCTTTAGTCGGTTGGAAAAGCTTCAATCGTTAACTATTAATTATATCATACAGAGCAATCGACGCAGTAACTCAGTGCTTTAGTATGGTTATGCTATAATTAATATCCTATGAGCTTTTGGAAATGATAATAATAATTATATTAATTTCGGCAAGAAGGATAATAAAGATATGACAATAAATATTGTATACGTTCTTAATTTAAAGAAAGAAATTAAAACAAATAGTAAGTTTTACAGTGAAATTTCACTATGTTATTGGATTTGTACATCAAGAGTATTTCCCTATTTTTTATAATCATTTATTTTTTTCTATTTTAATAACAGCTTATATAAATGACCCACTACTGAAAACACGTTAGAGAAGAATGAAGTTAATGAATTTTAAAATGAGCTAGAAATATTTTTGAAACCACAATTTGTACACTGTCACTGTGCTTCCTTTATCGTTGAGCGTGTGGTCATCAATCAGTCAATCAATCAGCATATGTATTGCGATTCGTAACCGTCTACAGCTGAACATGTATGCTTTGCGATTAGCTATTACAATTTTACGGCATTGATCGAACATGGTTTGCTTTAATGCGTCCACTATAAAAAGATATCCTCTAAAAAGCTTGGCGTGCTCAGCAGAGCGAGAGAGTATTTCATGGAATCACACGGCCTCACATGGAATACTGTTCTCATCTCTGGGCCGGGTCACCCCAGTGCTAGCTCCTTCCACTTGACCACATCCAGCGCAGAGCGGTATTCGAATCGTCGACGACCGAGGTTTTTCTGATCGGGTCGATTCACTGGCGCTGCGTAGGGATGTTGAATCCCTTTGCGTTTTCTATCGTATCTACCATAGGAAGTGTTCTGAGGAATTGTTCGGATTAATTTCAGCCGCCCAATTTCACGAATACACATCGCGTCAAAATTCCCGATACCATCCTCACCATCTGGATGCTTGGTGGTCAACTACTGTACGTTTTACTAGGAGTTTTCTTCCTCGTGCAAGTTCTCTGTGGAATTGTTTACCACCGGTGATTTTTCCAGACCGATACGACTTAGGGACCTTCAAGAAAAGAGCTTACTCCTTTTTAATAGGCCGGCCGGTTGTTCATGGGCGGCGGTAGTAACTTACCATCAGGTGAGCCGCATGCTCGTTTGCCCCCTCTTCTGTAAAAAAAAAAAACTATAAGCTGCCTCTGCTACACAACTCCCGCTTGATCTTTGTTTGCTGCTTTGAAGTTTTGTTAATTGATTGAACTTACAAATAAAATATTAAGTAACATGTTTTCTATATATTTCATATACCTGCTTTGAATAACATCATTTTTCTGGTTATTCATCGTTAGAGCTCGAGCGAACCAAGAGTTTTGCGAGCAACGTGCTACAAAGCACGATTCCATATAAAGTACCACACCACACCAGTAACATAAAAGGCTGACGTATGTGCAGTACTTGGCAATCTGTTGAATACAATGCTATAATATTTAAAAAAATAATTTTATCCACAAATAATTAATTATTCATATTATAATACGTTTGTTGGTACAAGGTAGTCTTTCGTAGCATCGGTAGTTGGTTTTGCGTCGGGCTATTTTAGCCGGCCCTAAGTCACTTCAAATCAAGTCACCAAAGGTCGAAAGGTACGAGTATGTGGTCTATGGTACTACTTACGTGTCGTCAAATGTACATTTAACATCTATAAAGCCATTTTAAATTTATCTAATTAGGTACATAAATACTTCATTTCTGAGATGGTTTTGGTGCTGTAAATTATCCGTCACACAGCCCAATGCCTATTCATGATATCGTGTTTATGAAGTGGGGGCGTTATTTGTTATATACACTGAATATTGGGAATTATTTTATTTAATTGCACGCCTCGCGATAATGATCGCCTCCATAAGCGAAGCGTTGAGGTTGTGCTCTACTCTCACCTAATGCACATCCAGTAATTTTCTGAGGTAAAAAATGTCTTTATTTTTTACAATTGCACTTTTAGAATAATAAAAATACACGTATATCGAGAAAAATTACTCGTTTTCATGTTTCTATTATTTTTAAAAGTAATTTTCTGTATTTGGTGTAAAAACAAACTGATTGAAAAAAAATGCCGCGGGTGTCCGGATCTCTGTATGTGTGGATGGCGCACGATTACGGTCGTTAGAATTAATGTACAAAATAATACTTTTTTATTAGGTTTAGAATCTCAACGCACAGTTGCCTTTTAAAAATCACTGAGTAATTTGGTCTCGTTTAATTGTAATTAATGAAAATGTAAAAAAACAACTGGTGCTTTTCCACAAAAAATATTCTCATGGATCTCTTCTTTCGTCTCAAGTATGGAAAAAGAGATATTTTTCTTTTTACATAGTCAAATGAGATTATGAGGCGTGCACTTTTGGATTTTCCAAACTTTTTAGGTCTTTGATGTCGGCGCAATATTTATATTTTCTTTCACGGTCGAACAAGTAGGTAAAATTGCATTAACAGCTCATATTGCATGGGTGTTTAGAAATTAATTATATTAGATACTAGAAACTATATATTACTTAGAATTGGTAGAATATATTTTGATACCTTTATAATAATTGTGTTGGACAGCAACTTTCTTTCCCATTGCTCAAAAAAACTTGTCAAGCGCCACACAAGACATAGCTTGGTCCCTTTGCATAAATAAAATAAATGCTCCCTATAATCATCATAATACATTCTCGTCGTATGTATTGTGACTATATATTCGAAAGGGATCAAAGCAAATATATCTAAATAGAATGCTGGAGAATTAAGTCTGTATTTTAAGATATCTGAAAAGTTTTTGATGTATTTCTTCTTTGTTTTTACAGCAGTCACCAGTGACATAATGATGTTGATGGTCAATGAAATTGCAAATACAATTTCGGCGTAGAAAAAGAAACCGCCCGGAAATCCTCTTTTGATTCCTATAAAATATGGATATAGAATACAGATATAAATGACAATGCACAGCATATACAATTCCCAATACTTTGCTAGGTAGCAATCAGACTCCAAAATCCACGGAAAATTTGAATTAATACACGTAAAGTTTAATTTCCTCTTTTTAATGTGCTCAGATAATATATAAAGATCTAAGCAATTTTCATCGAGTTCATTATCTTTAGTTAGGTCCACATCTGTTTTACCTGAAAAAGCGTCATCAAGTTCTTAAAACAGCTTGAAATTATATACGAAATTAAACATAAGATTTCCATCACCCCATAACATTGCGTGTTTGTTGCTAACTATGGAAAACGTTATCAAGATCTCATGGAGAGATGACGGTGCACTGTTATGTTGCCATTACCGTTAAAGCCAATCAAAAGTCCACTTCTGACTCCCATAGACTGCCTCATAGGCGGATTTCCATATTGGCAGGCGGGTTGACAGTCACAGTTTGAGACACCCACGGGATGATATGGTATTCGTACACCGCAACTAAATGGTCATGGTTTTGTATATGATATGTGTAATAATCTAGGCAGGTAACGAAAAAAGGTGCGATACATCTGGTACAGCGAACGAAAATTCGGCTGCCAAAGGTGGTAAGTAAGGCAAGTCAGTTTTACAATTACAAATTATTAATAGGATACAAATTTTTTATACGTGGTACGAGTAGAGCTATACTGCAGCTATATTGTAGTTGTATCGTGAATGGGTCGGCTCGACCGGGGAAGTACTACACCCTCACAGAATACCAGCGTAAAATAGAGAACCGGAGACCCTTTTTACTGAATCTGGGGCACTCCATCTTAGTCTTCAGGGGTGACAACGCATTTTTTTATAGGAGAGGGGCAAACGAGCATACGGCTCACCTGATGGTAAGTGATTACCGCCGCCCATGAGCAACTGCAACACCAGGGGAATTGCAGATGCGTTGCCGGTCTTTGAAAAAGGAGTAGGCGCTTTTATTGAAGGTCCGTAAGTTGTATCGGTCCAGAAAAATCTCTGGTGGTAGTCGTTCCACAAGAAAGTTGTACGGGGCACAAAACTTCTTTTAAATCGTACGGTGGTGGACCGCCAGTCAAGCAGATGGTATCCAGTTTTGTCGCATTTTGATTCGTAATCACGCATAGATGTAGATGTCTATGGGCTTCAGAATTTACTTACCATCAGGTGGGCTGTGTGCTCTCTTGTAGGGTGACAAACGAGCACTACAATTATATAAATAAAAATTAAAAATAGAATTATTTACCTTGCCGGTATCGTAGTTTATCTTTCAAACATTTGATGCTGCTCTTTTTTCTTTCTTTCGAAACGTAAATATTCAACAACAGTTGATCGTTGCTGGTTTGTTTTTTCTTTCTAAGTCGACTTCTGTCGATTCGTTCTTGTATATCTTTTCGTATTTGAGCTACTAAATTGGGATATGTGATCATTAATTTTGTAAAATCAGTCTTTTTCAAAATTTGGCATTCAACATAAGTAGCGGCTTTTACTGTGCATCTGGCTGTAAATATATTTTAATCAATTAAATGCACATATCTAATGTACCGTACTGCTTAAATTAAGTCTACATATTCATATAATTTAACTGTATGAAAATGGTATTCGTGGTAGAGCTATACTGCAGCTATGGTATGGTTGTAACACGAATACGTCGGCTCGGCTAGTGATGGGCCACGCTCTCACAGAGTTAACCAGCGTTAAATAGCAGTGTGCAGTGTGCTGCGTTTCGTATTTCTTCGCTTTTGCTGGAAACAAAGCGTTTAATCTTAGTCCTCAGGGATGTTGGTCACAACAACAACATCTGCATTTTCATTCTTAATGGATGATAGATGCAGATCTATGAGCCACAGCATCCACTTACTGTCAAGTGGATGCTGTGAATACTTATTCTATGAAGTAAAGTAAATATGTAACTTATAATAAGTGGGTGTAATGGGCATAGGCCTCCTCTAATTTTTGAGAGAGTTATGGATTAATTTGTCATCCGCACTGCTCCAGTGCAGGTTGGCGAACTTTACATGTCTTTTAAATACTTTTATTTTCAGACATGTAGAATTTCTCAAGATGTTTTAATTCACCGCCGAGCACTAAATAAATCAGCACTTAACCATTTCATTGATGCCGGCGTCAATCGAAGTCGAGTGGCTCGCATACTGTGAAACAAACACGTATTCGTTCGATGGACGAGCCCTTTTGTCTTCACTCGTTATAATGATAATGACTAATAAGTCATCATTATCATCATCATAGGATAGGAAGAGAGAAGATAAGTCATAGGTTGGACACGAAGCACGGTCTAGATCAAGCACGGTCAAGGTCACCTGCGTACCTCGACTTCCAGCATATTTCATCAGGTCATGACTATATTTAGTAAGGGGTAGCTCAACTCCATCGCTAGCCATTGCCACTTCAATAAAACAGATCTGCTAGGCCTTGTCAGCTTACTCTCGCTCTGATGGGGATTCTTAAAGTCACATGGCATGCAGAGTACCCTACTATATTCGGAATTTCTCTGCGTCATAAAATTCGTTTAAGGATATCCACAAAGAAGAGCTATCGGAAAAGTCAAAGCTTTAATTTAATTACCAGGTATGTTTAATATCAGTGCTATCTCTCCAAAGCAGGTTCCTTTAGAAAATGAAATCATTGGACTCTCATCATCTTCATCCGATAGTAGCTCCAAAACACCATTCGTTACACAAATCTATAATACATTGAATAAGTACGTATATTAATGGTGGAAGGACAGTATTTCTATACACTTGACAATACTAGTTAGTAATGTATTACCATATCAGTTTTATTTTGATTGTGGTTATAAATAATATCGCCTGGTAAATAAAATCGGTGACTCATTGTTACAGATAGACGTCTTAAAAAAGCTTCGGGTAATTTTCTAAATATTAAAGAACTGTATAGAGGTACTGCATTTAAGTCGTAACAGATCTCCGTTTGCAATGGAAACGGAAGCAGTTTCAGCAGTTTAGGCTTAAATACTCCAGACTTCTGATACCAAAGGTCTTCATAGTACCTATAAGCAAATACTTAGATCGCAAATTTCAACTTGTCTTAAAAAATAATAAAAATGCAACTAATTTTACCCGTTGATTATAACTACTTTTACGGATTTTATCGCGTTTAATTTTAATTTTAATTATTTATTTTTTATTTTTTATTCCGAACGTTTCAAAAAAATTATTAAAATTAAAATTAAACGCGATAAAATCAGTAAAAGTAGTTTTAATCAATGTATAGTGTTCGCGTAAATATAAGAAATCATTAATTTTACCTGATTATACGTTTTGTTGTAGCTTTATCCATTTTTATTAACTTCAGGTGGCTTTGTATTTTCTTTAACTGCCGCACGTATCTCGCACGACGGGAAGTTATTGTTATAAACTGTGAAGTAAGGGAGCCCACAAATACGACAGTTGTCAATAAGAATCCCAATAAAATAGCAGTGATAGCTGAGATTCTCTCAGGGGTCGTTATTGGGTAGAGATCACCAAGTGCATTCGTGGTGAGAAACATAACCGACCAATACGCACAGATAAAGTACCAATCATTTTTTGTTTCTGTGGGTAAATGTGTCGCTGTCACAGACCAAGAAGAACGATATTTATGCAAATCAAAGTTTTTGTACGCGAATAAATACCATATGCAAGTCCACGTATGCACGGATAGAACAAAAAGTATTAGATATTGTACGAGGAAAGTAGTCCATTGATTACTGCCAGCTTGCGAAGACCTGTTATAAAAATATTCGATGATTCTGTAAACGCGTATTGCTGAGACGATTGGTGATATAGTATAGGAATCGAACAAAGATTCACGAGGATCAATGAAGTAGAGGAGCGAGTATGGAATGGCTAATATCATGTCAAGAATCACTCGGTACATGTCGGGTTCAACCAAATTTAGAGTTTTTCGCCACTTCTTGAAGAACTTTAAACCAAAAAGTATTATAACGTCTAATGTAAACATAATGTTTAAACTGAACAATAACATGACAATCCAAAATGAGTTTTCCAGGCGCCGGCAAAATGTGTACAGACATGTGTCCAATATGTAGGATATAAATAAGACGGAAAGGATAAATATTTCCCACCCCGGATTAGAATATATTAGTAAAGCATATCGAAGTTTCCTATTACTGAAATCCGATCGCTGCTCTTGTAAAATAGCATATGTTTTCGGCCATTTTTCTTTGCCCTCGTTGAGTGATATATTAGAGGACTTCGGTGAAGATCGTCCAACAGCTGCAGGATGTATGAACTTGTTCTGCCTTTCTACTTCATTTCTGTATTGATATACATCAAGGCTCAATTCTGCTTCATTTTCATTAGTGTCTGCAAAGTTCTTGCCTTAAATTTTTATGCAATAATAAGTAAACTAGGATATGACTGAAAAGTTACTAAACTAGGATATGAATACAAATTTTTTAAAATAAATATCTCAAGACGAAGCACAATATCTTATTTTTGAGATTATAATTAAGCTTATATAAATCCGCCAAGGTGCTCCGCTCACTACGGGTTGGCGGATTTTACACAACGAAACTTTTAGGATTCCTGGTTTCCTTGTGATAATTTACTTTAAAACCACGTATACGTTATAAAAAATACTTACCCATTGTAGAATACCATGGATTTGATAATTTTAGAACATATGTTTTAATGTCATATGTTATTTTAAGTAATAATCTAGTAGGTTGTTTTTATTTGGAATTTGAAAGTCGAATTTACATTAATATAAAAGTCAGATTTTATATCCATTCAAATGTAGTTTTCAGTCGTTCACCCGAACAAGTCGGAATATCAAGAGCTAAATGATGTTCATAATCGTTGCAATGACGTAATGTTTTTCACAACGCACAAACCGTAGGCCGAAAGACGGACATGTAGATCCGAAACACAAGATGTGCACACGGCACTTCAACCTACAAACACGAACATAAAAATACTGACTTGACGTCGTATTAATTATGTATTGTATTCACTGATCGTACCTAGCGCAGTGTCGTAAATCATTGAGCGGATGATCAGTGATCACGATTGACGATAACGACTGTGTCGTCCAAATCAACATCTACTGCCTTTAAATTACGTGTGCTCGATTTTTTTTAATTTATTTTGTGGAGTTATGAGGTCTAAAATTACGCTAGATTATGCATTTTTTACCATAAATAATTGTTACACACCTACTTTTACCAATACTAATATATCGGCGGATGAAATGCGAAATGGTTTAAGCGACATCCTGGGTAAATATGTCAAATATTCGAGAGAGTTAAAAAAGTGACTTTGGTGTAAGCTTTACAGAATTAAAAAAGTAAATACTGGCTGTTAAATCTGTAACCTTTGTAAGTTGCAAAACAAAAAAAAATTAATGAAATTATTGTCGTCTTCCAAGACAAAATCCTCCCCAACTATATCTTTAATTTAATTGTGTCAATATTTAGTGAATAATTGGTGCCAATTAGTGACTTAAGAAAAATATCTAGACTCAATATTTTATATACTTATACTATGTTGCTTCGATCAATAGTACTTTAATTGATCGAAGTTATGTTGTGTCAAAATTTTGTTGTGATGATTTTCGGTAAAAGTAGTCAACTTTAAAAACTAGAGGAAGGTTTGATCGAATTTTACTTAGACTGTTCATGGTTCTCCAAGTTTATTAAGAACAAAAGCAGTATTATATATTTTTTATTTACAATGACCCTAAAATATTTTGATTAAGACTAAATCACATTACAGATGTGACTTTAAACGTATAGGCTGCATATAAAACAATCAAAGAATGCAGCTTAAGAGGATGTAGTAAGTCAGCTCAAATTCTAATTTCGCCCCCACTTCCCCGCGCGTCGTATGCTATGTACCGACATGTTTGTAATCACTAATACTGTAAGTAGATAGGTCGTTAGATACTTATTTCATTAGGTTTATCATATTTATGCCTGTTTCTTAACGCCAACCCAGTCGCTTCTTATTTTTATTACGGTTATTTCCCATTTTAATTTTACGTCGTCCTGTTGCGTAATGTGTATTCTGATCGTAAGCGACACAATTGCGATATGTGGTCTATCAAATCTGATGTAGTGATGGGGGCAATCCTGTACGTACAGGCAGTCTGTGAACACGTACAGGATTGCCCCCATCACTACATCAGATTTGATAGACCACAAATCCTCGCTAAAGAACACCGATTCGTTCCGAGGATGATTCGCGAGGCTATTGAAATCAAAAAACATCCTAATTTCAATAGAGAAGATGGCTGGGTGCTACCATCTGCTTGGGATCCTATAATAAATAAAATTAAATCCCAACCCAAGCATACAACTGCAAGACTTCAAGATACCATAAGTTCATACTGTGTAGATCGGAACAAAAGTTAAATTTTAATCTATGGTAACCGCGGTTAACTATGACATCTGGACGTTGAACATTTCAGTCCCGCACGTAACCATGAGTGCTGTAAAGCGTTCGAAACGTCGGGTATTTAAAAAGTTAAATATACGCGATAAATTTCGTAAAAACTAGTATTATTTCACTATGTATTAGCTTAGCTTAGCGTCCTCATTTTTCCTTATCGTAGACTCAAGTTCTATAACGTGTAGATAATTAGACTCAGAGCAAGATACCATAGGCGGAATTAGGGCCGCATAATCACGCTTTTATGGAAACACAGTACGGGTATCGGTGAAAAATGTTGTTATAAAACGAAATTAAATGTTCTAAAGTACCGCATGTTGGATTCAATTGAACTGATGGCTAATGTAGGTTACTTTAAGTTTAATGTTGCAAAGTTTTATGTATTTTTTTATTTATTTTTATTTAATATTCTTTATTGCACACCATATAAAAAAATTACTAATAATATATACAAAAGAAGTATGCAATGGGCGGTCTTATTGCTGATAGCAATTTCTTCCATACAACCGGTGTGCATATTTTTATCCATAACAACTGCCTTTCTTGATTAAGTTATTTTCCTTGTAGACTGCGCTTATAAGATTCGAGTCAACTACCTAAATCAAACGTAAAGTTGTCTATTTTCGTTACATTTTGGATTAAAAGATATCTCTGACGAAAATTACTCTATAAGTCGTCTAATTTTTCTTTTCTAACGCTAGTTGTTGTAACAAGAAGATATCTCCGTGGCAAAGAGACGACCACGGTGATATCTTCTTGTGACACAACTGTCACCTGCCTAATTGGGATAGGAAATCTGGCCCACACAGGGCCGATATTTGAAACTTTAGGATTATACCTTGTACCAGAATTATTTTCCTCATTACTTTTTAAAAATTTGTATATGATATTGAATAGCGATTAGTGCACTTTTGTTTTGTATTTTGTTTGCAATTACGTTATCAGATTTTAAATGGGTATTGGATTCATCATTTATTCATGCTCACCTTCAACCCTGTAACCAACTGCAGATTGCGTTGTCACTTCTAAGGACTAAGATGGAATCTTTAGCCTGTAATAAAAAAATAGAAATGAACACTACTGTTACTCATATTTATAATCATGCACAACTGCCAAGAACTTTAAACTTTGCGTTGTCGCCTCTAAAGAAGAAGATGGAGTTTTTAGTTTAAAACACTAGAAAAGGAATTAACACTTTTGTTATTATCATTAGTTATTATAACTTAGCTAAAAATCTTCGAATAGCGGATTAAAACTCACGAGACATTCGATCCTATATCATTATATCTTAGTCCTCAGAGGTAACAGCGCATCTATAATCTTATCTTCTTGATGTTGGATGATGGTGTCCATGGACAGGAACCACTTATCACGGATGGACTGTAAATTCGTTGGTCTCTTCAGTTTTATAAAAAAAAATTGATTTCCTAAAGGCATTTTTCAGTGAATTTAAATGGACTAATGTCAAATTTTTTGATAAATTAACCTTTCTTCGTACAAATTCGGGTAACCAAAATATGTGTTATGTTTTTTCTGGATCTAAATAGTTAAAACCATTTGTACAGGGACAAATAATAAATTGTGAGTGAACATATCTGTTTCTAATAATACATATCCACTGTTAACGAACGAAAAACAATCGGATACACTAGTTTCCGAAATAGAGCGTGGAATTTTGTTTAATCCACTTAATTTGATAGATGCGAGAGCTTTGGATAGGGGTCAATTATCCATTTATCCTTTTAACGAAATTGATAAAACGAAACTAACTCGACCGATTTTAATTGATCAAACGTACTGGCGAGTTAAAAACGAATTTTGTTGAATCTTTTTAAGATTATTCCCGTAGTGTAAGCCTCGATGTTGATAAAAACGGCAACCGTAATA